ATTAGGAATCCATTTTTTTCGGTTGACCCCAGAGTGCCACACTGAACGATAGTGGGCCGGCCGCAGTAGCAATTGCAAAATTACGGCGTCCAATTTATAATACATTTAGTCTTTCGCTGTGGAGGCGACCACGTGTAAAAGGAGTATTGACGGTCGACACAAATTGCTCATCGGGCGACACGACATTTTCTGTTCAAACCTTCCAGGAGTTAAGCATTGCTAACCGCCATCGGCTAACTTCGACCGGCGGCGTGATTACCGACATTTAACGGCGTGGGTAAAATGATTTCAACACTGCGCAAGTAATGCGGCTGTGCGTATCCCATAATGCTGCTGCTGGGCTGCAATCGGCCAGCGCAACAAAGTTGTACGATGGAGACATCCATTTCACTCTGTCACCCCCCTTCCTACAGTTACCCGTTTAACACTTTCGGTCTATTCACAGTGACGATTTGCAGTTACAGCGTGAAATTTAAAATGTGTATGCTGCGGCTGCGATCATTTGCAAGCGATTTCATTTTCAAAGCACTATCTGCCGGTAATGTAAGTTGCTCATCAGCCGACATGACCCCTGAATGAGCCCGTCTACAGGCCAGAATGCGCCCTCTACAGGCCACAATGGCCCTCCGCAGCCAATGAAGGCTCCTTCACGGGCCAGAATAGGCACTCTAGAATGAATAGAGCTCTGTACATACCAAAATGGGCCCTCCACAGTCGGTAATGGGCCTCTACAGGTCGGAATGGGCCCTCTACAGTTCAAAATTGGCCCTCTACAGTTAGCACTGGATCCTCCACATGTTACAATAGTCCATTTACATCTCAGACCGAACCGCCTGTACACCTAAATGGGCCCCCTCTTAAGGTCAGAACGGGCCCTCTGCACGCCAGAATGTGCCCTCCATAGTGAATAATAGACCGTCTATATATCAGAATGGATCACTTTAGGCCAGAATGGGGTTACTACAATAAGAAGTAAACCTTTTTCGGGTCAGAATGGGCCCTCTACAGACGCACAATTACCCTCTTCTGGTCATAATGAATCCTCAATAGGCCAGAATGAGCACTTGACATGTCAGAATTCACTTAACAGGCTTACATGATCCTTAACAGTTCCGAACGGGCCCTCCACCATCCAAGATCAGGTGAGGTGGAAGGGGAGGGGGCACCCCCAACTTTCAAATTAAGGGGCGAGCTGTCCCCACGCCTCCCCCCTCCCCTTCCAGTTCCCGCGTCCTTTGTAAGCGGTCCATTATTGACTGCGGAGGGTCTATTCTGGCCTGTGGAAGGACCTTTTCTGACCTTAATAAGACCCGTTATGACCTGCACGGAGTTCCTTATATCTTGTAGAGGATTGAGTCATAGCTGTGGAGGGTCAATTTTGATCTGTAGAGGGCTATTCTGGCCTTCAGGGGCCCATTATGACCTGCAGATGGCCAATTACCGACTGTGACGGGTCCATTTTGACATATACAGGGGCCCATTCAGGCTTGTAGATCGCCTTTTTGCACTCCTTAGATTTCGGACTCGTCTGCTCTATTCTGGATAAGTCGACTCGGTCGCACAAACCAAGATATAGAAAACTTAAGAGTTCCATGGAACGCGTCGCGTTTCTCTCCCGGTTAGAATGCGCTCCAGGGCACGGCACAGCCCGGCGGACAGAGCGTTCGGAAAAGACCTTCGCACCTATTGACGTTCATGTGCCGTCGGTTGCCCAAGGTAATGATGGCAACGGAGTTTCACGTTAACTGAACGGTGGACTGCAGTTGCAGAGTCTGTCCCGCGGCCAAGGGCCGCAAAGGCTCGGACATCTCGTTATTTATTTGTATATGGTGGGCTAATAAAGCGTACTGCCTTCGAAACGTGCTGTTAGCGAGCAAACGGGCCGTCGCTGCGGCCGCGGCGGCGGCGTCTCCGCGATGGTGTGAGTAGCCCCTCTGCCCATTGGTCCCCATCATCTGGAGCCCATACGTGGGCCACGTGAGTTTATGGGGACGCGCGGGCGGGGACGCACGGTCCCTGCCGAGCAGTCCACGTTCAGGCCCCGACGGCGTGGCTAGACGCGAGCCCCGTCAGCGTTCACGACGACGACGACGACGACGACTTCGGAGTGTGCGACGCTGCCCTTCCAACCCCTCTCTTACATTTGCCTTGCAACTCTTTGGCTGATAGAGAGTCTTCACTTTCAACATCTCAAGTCGATGGTCCTCCGGAATACTAACGAACTCTTTCGCACGAACACGTGCCTTGTCAGAGAGGAACACAATGGGTGGTTTCGACCAGTGACCGATTTACATTGTCCACCCATAGTGGTCATTGTGTGTGTGTGGGAGGGAGGGGCGGTACTCCCCCCCCCCCCCTCCTCTGGATCAGCATACCAGAATGGGCCCTCCTCAGGCCCTCTAAGTTGAAGGACGGGGCAGAGCTGTTCCCAATACCCCCTCCCCACCTATCCGGTCCGGTGCCCCTGTATGATTGCTCTTTTGCAAGTATAAATTGGGACCTGAGAGCATCAGTTTCAGAAAGATTGATTAAACCGTGTGCTTCGTGTCAATTTTTGACGACTTTGAATAACTAACTTAGTGATATATGCGGTCGTTTTCGTTGGGCTAGCAATTTTGTTCGTAGCTTCTGAAATCTTAGGTAACTGCATTGTTCGCGCGTGGTTGGCCTCTGACTCTGACTCAAGTCTCCCGTGACTTGTTAAAATTAACACAGCCGTCAGAAGTCATCATAATCATAACAGATAGTGTAGTTGTATACTGCGGTTAAAATGATGCAGTTTTTAAGAAAATCAGATGACTAGTTTGCGAGTATCAAGCTGGATGCAGAACGCGCAGTGATATAAAGTTATTGCCAAGTTGGTATACGAATCCGACGTATCAGCGACAGTTAGGATATGACGCTGCTCTTCGGACTGTGACCATTGTCAGCGGTGCAAAAAGTGCCCGGGGTGCACATAAATACGGTGAGGTACGTTGTGGCTAATTTGGGTGGTATGTGTTTTCGAAGTCTCTGCGCGTGCCGGTGTCAGATCCCATGCTGGTTAATTATTGTTAATGAGACGCCAGAGAAGCTCATACCGGTCTGCAAAAACTCTGTCCACGGCGCCCACGCGACATCGGTCCACAACTCACATTTGCATGTGCCAACCTCAGGCCGGGCTAAATTCTGTTATATTTTACAATTATTTTTGTGCAAAAATTTTTGCCTGAAATTGCCTCCTTAGTGCAACAGTTCTGGTGTACATGAGCTGAACTTTGTGTTGTGATGTGGCTGCTGTGCTGGACATGTTTAGCATAATATGTATTGTAGGCAGCCTGGGGCTCATACGCACATTGACCATTGACTGGTGTGATTGCCACATGGTCTGAGCAGTCAGCTGACAGCTTAACATCTTTGGACTAAGATGTTGCCACAATTTAATCACTGGTACCTCATGTCTACATTTTGCAGGGACCAGATTAAAGTGAAAACATGGCAAATTTTACCAGTAAAGAGCAATCTCTGGATTAAATGAACAGGCACAGGAATGATAAAATGACTAGTTCTTTAGCCACTCAGAGCAGCTAGGTGAATAATAGTTTGCCGATGATTCGGTCACAAATGTGCCACAGTAATTATGGCAGACAGCTCAAATTTGGCTTGGAGGGGTCTCAGCAGGGACTATGGTTGCAAGGATAACTTGACTGTCACACTAGATTTAGATTTCCCCTCATTTTATTTGCTATGCATTTGTATGAAAGTCTAAATGGAAAGCAGATTGTAAGATTTGCTGGATTTATGTTGGTACAACTTATGTTAATGATAATGTCCAATGATTGATCTTAGCCATACATTTAATAGGAAGGGATGATCAGGCTTGGTAACTTTTGATACCTCCTCAATTTTTACCAGATTGGTGATTACCTTTTTCTTAGGACTGTCCATTTCATGGAAAATTAGTAGAGCTCCTGGGAAAAGAATATTTTGTAACATATTTCTCATTGCTGATTTTTTTGAAGTCCTGTTGCTTATTTAATGGTTAGAAACTAAGGAAACTGTATATTTTGGGAGTAATGAGCTAAGAGCAAGTAAGATGTGTCATCCTGTGAGCAGCAGATATATGCCTGGACTTCCAAAAAGATCTTAGAATCATACCAAAGGGTACCACAAGCATGAAATCCTATAGGACCTTGAACCCACCCTTGGAATCCAGGCAGACATCTGGTGGGCAGGGTTATATTTTTGTTTGGGCTGATAAATATGATATTGAAAAATAAAGGGTTTGTATAGTCATCTATTATTATGTGTCATCTATATATGGTGCTATGGTGGCATGGCAAGAGTAAACTTGGATGAAAAACTTTGTTTTAAAATGGAAGAGTTTGGTCCATGTACCAAGCCACACTAACAGGAGTATTACATTTTATTAAAGAGTCAAGAGTACATTTTTCCAGATTCAATAAAATTTAATTAGAATCAATTTTTCAACACTTCCTGTAAATTATGATACTGACTCCAGCTGAGGCATTGGGATGCTATTATAATCACATGCTGGGCAGCCTGATCTTTACTTGGACTCAGCATGCAAGCTTTATCCAGGATAATTTGGATCAGATTGCCTGTCAGATAAAATTACCTGACTTTTATGGTTTGGTTCACAGCCTGATAGTGTTGCATACATCTGATGTTTATCATCTGTCAATGGTACTGCACATCAGATGGCATGATTTAGTGATGTAAACAGTTGCTGACACATGCTGCTGTTCAGTAGGCACATGGCACATGTCCAAAGTGGGCTGGCATTTGCAGCACTGGCCATCAGCAATGAGTAGTTGTACTTTATTGCTTAAAAGTTTTTTGGAGGGATGGGGACAATGTGTTCCCTCCTTCTTGCCATTCTTTGCAATCCTGTAAGGTGATGCCAGATTTATGCAAGGATGAAGAGAGGTAACTCCCCCCCCCTTTCCTCGATACCAGTTTAAGTGTGGCTACTAACAGGAACCTTCCAGAGCAGCCTGGTCCAACCGCGCCGGCGTCGGTCAGCACGCCCTCCTACTGCGGCGCCACTCCGCCACGTGACCGGGCCGCGCCAGCCTGCCCCTGGCCATGGAGGCGGAGGTGTCAGTTCGCGACGCGGCCGCCTCGGTGCTGGTGGCGCTGCTGGTCGGCTTCCTGGTGCGCCGCATGCTGAAGCGGACGCCGCGCGTGCTGACCCGCGACACCCGGCGCGGCCACCGCTGGTCCCACACCGGCATGTTCTCCCAGGTGGGACACTGGGGCATGGACTCAGGCGCTCAGTCATCCCGAGTCGGCGTGGTCGTCGGGGCGTCCCGCTGTGCCGTGATGCTGGGCGAAGAGCCGAGGCTGATCATGAGCTCGGTAATTGGCCCCGCGAGGAGCTCATGGGAGAGCTCAGTGGTTAGCTCATGGGAGAGTTCAGTGGTTAGCCCATGGGGGGAGCGCAGTGGTTAGCTCGTGGAAGAGCTCATTGGCTAGCCCAGAGGAAGATGCAGTGGCTATCTCAGGGGAGGACCATATGCCCGACGCCTCACAAGCTGTCACAAACAGGAGCCCACTTAGACTCTTCCGCTCGCCGCCCGCGCCCTCACACCCCTCCCCCTCCGTCCGCCAGCCGAGCTACTGCAACATCTGCGAGTCGCTGCTGATGACGTCACAGGGCGCCTTCTGCGACGCATGCGGCGTGTGCGCCTGCCATCCGTGCGTGCGCTCGGCCAACAAGCAGCTGACCTGCAAGGCGGTGACGTCACGCGAGACTTCCCACAAACACCACTGGGTGCAGGGTGAGTCGGCCGGTGACGCGCCACCCAGCGCATCGCCCGGTGGAGAGAGGGAGGGAGGGCGTATAGGGAAGATCAGGATCGCTCCACGGTAGAGCGTGTGGGAAGGAATCGGCTGGCGTGGAATGACCTCCGCAGTTGAGATATCCTTAAATTGAAATAATGCTAAAATCTAAACTCTAATCATGTTAATCAAACTTAAGTCCTTGTCGCCTACCTGTGTGACAAGGAGGTTGGAGCGGACCATGCCGGACTCCATGCAAATGGATGTGCCCGCCGCCGCGCATGCCCTGCCGCGTTCCCCGTCGTGGATGAAGCACGGGCACGATTGGGGAGTGCCCGAGCGAAGTTTGGGTTGGGTCCAGTCAGAGTTGTTTCGGCACCAACGTGGCTCTGCGAGTATCGTAACACGGTGATGGAGGATGTAGATAGTCACGGAACCGCTGCTTCGGCCGGAATGCGTGTGATTTTGCCAGGTATATCATTCTCACTTCAGAACGGTCTCAAAACGAAAGTAATATGCCTGAGCAAAGGACATCGAGCTTTTTCGCAGCATGCTGCGAACTAACAGCTCTGCCACGCACGTGCTTCGAGCTCCGCAATGATCGAATAAGTGACATTGTAACATAAGTGGCATTGAGTGGTTGGCGTCGTGGCATGGGTGCCAGTGACGAGGACCGACTCCAGTGGCATGGGTGCCAGTGGCGAGGACCGGCTCCAGTGGCATGGGTGCCAGTGACGAGGACCGACTCCAGTGGCATGGGTGCTAGTGACGAGGACCGGCTCCACTGGCATGGGTGCCAGTGACGAGGACCGACTCCAGTGGCATGGGTGCCAGTGACGAGGACCGGCTCCAGTGGCATGGGCGCCAGTAACGAGGACCGACTCCAGTGGCATAGGTGTCAGTGACGAGGGCCGGCTCCAGTGGCATGGGTGTAAGTGACGAGGGCCGGCTCCAGTGGCATGGGTGCCAGTGACGAGGACCGACTCCATTGGCATGGGTGTCAGTGACGAGGACCGGCTCCAGTGGCATGGGTGTCGGTGACGAGGGCCGGCTTCAGTGGCATGGGTGCCAGTGACGAGGACCGGCTCCAGTGACATGGGTGCTAGTGACGAGGACCGACTCCGGTGGCATGGGTGTCAGTGACGCAGGCCGGCTCCAATGGCATAGGTGTCAGTGACGAGGGCCGACTCCACTGGCATGGGTGTCAGTGACGAGGGCCGGCTCCACCGGCATGGGTGTCAGTGACGAGGGCCGACTCCTGCGGCATGGGTGTCAGTGACGAGGGCCGGCTCCACCGGCATGGGTGTCAGTGACGAGGGCCGACTCCTGCGGCATGGGTGTCAGTGACGAGGGCCGGCTCCAGTGGCAGTGACCGTGTCCGGTGCGTGCTCCGGCTCGTCCGCGTTGGACGGCCGCCAGCCCGCGGCCGTCCCGCGCGGACGGGCCGAACCGTGCGTCGGTCTGGGAAGACGCGCCGTTTGTGGACTGAAGTGCGGGGGGATGGGGAGAGGACTGCGCGCGGGCAGCGACGCTTGACCTGCGCGTGCGCGGCCGGCCGCAGGGAACCTGCCGTTCGACTCGGCCTGCGAGGTGTGCGAGGCGGGCGTGGGCGACTCGCCGGCGCTGGTCGGTCTGCGCTGCTGCTGGTGTCAGCGCACCGTGCACGACGAGTGCAGGAGGAACATGTCCGAGGTGAGGACTGCTGCGGGGAACGTGAGCGAGGCGAGGACTGCGGCGGGGAGCGTGGGCGAGGTGAGGACTGCTGTGGGGAACGTGGGTGAGGTGAGGACTGCTACGGGGAAGGTAAGCGAGATGAGGACTGCTGCGGGGAACATGTTCGTGGTGAGGACTGCTGTGGAGAACGTGGGCGAGGTGAGGACTGTTGCAGGTAACACGTCAATAGTGAGCATCGCCGCTAGGAGAACATGTCCAAAGTGAGGACTGCCGCTGGGGAGGGGATGTCTGACCTGAGGACTACCACTGGGGGTCATGATGGTGAGAACTGCTGTTGGGACGTGTTTCGAAGGAACCGTCCGACAATGTTCCACAGATGTCTAACCATAAGAGTTCCACCTGATACAGAGCACGTGACGCCGGTCCCCTCTCCGTCCGGCTATGTAGCGCACCTGCGTGACCCGCCCTCTGTCACGCCCACCTGCGCGCGGCAGGTGTGTGACCTGGGCGAGTTCGCCGAGTTCGTGGTGCCGCCGCACTGCGTCAAAGTGCGCGCCACCCGCACCGTGCCTCGCCGCCTGGCCATCTCCCAGGTCGCGGAGCCCGGCGCGGCCGCCAACAGAGACTGGACGCCGCTGGTGGTGATCGGTGAGTGAGGCGGCGTCAGAGGCGCGCGCGCGCGGGGGGGGGACGCCTTCGCGCCGCGCTGCCCACCGACGGTCGTGTGACGTCACGGACGGATACTCAGATGGGGCGGACTGGAGGTGGGATAATTATTGTCGTTTTGTCGACGGTCAATATAAGCCCAGTGGACAGCAGCCCGGTAGACAGTATGCCGGGACAGTACGATGATATCTATGATCTTAGCAGACTTCACATCGTGTAGAATTAACAGAATTAAGGCGTAGCTGGGTAGTTCGTTCGGCTCTCAAACCATCCAGGTAAAACACATGTTATACCTCCCAGTTATATTGCCGTTGTACCTCCAATTTGTATTGTCGCTCTGTCCGCGTAGATCCGCGGGCGTGTACGCGAACATCGGCAGAACAGTCGGGATTCTGATCACGTGCATCGCAGGCACTCACTGTCGGCGGCCGCCGCGCTCCTGTTTGTTTGGCGTGGGTCAAAGGTCCGGTCGCAGACCTCGTGCGCAGCGTCGTGCTCTGCACCCAGCTCTACATCGCAGACCTCGTGCGCAGCGGCGTGCGACTGCACCCAGCCGGCGTGCTCGGCTGGAACCCCGTCTGCCTCTGACGTGACTGTACCCAGCGGGCGTACCCAGCTGGAACCCCGTCTGCCCCTGAAGTCACTGTACCCACCGGGCGTACTCAGCGGGCGTACCCAGCTGGTACCCCGTCTGCTTTTGACGGAACTGTACCCAGCGGGCGTACCCAGCGGGCGTACCCAGCTGAGACCCCGTCTGCCCCTGACGTCACTGTACCCATCGGGCGTGCTCAGCGGGCGTACCCAGCTGGGACCCCGTCTGCCCCTGACGTCACTGTACCCATTGGGCGTACTCAGCGGGCGTACTCAGCTGGGACCCCGTCTGCTTCTGACGCCGGTGGAGCGGCCTGTCCGCAGGTAATCGGAAGTCGGGGAACAATGACGGCGAGCAGGTGCTCTCGGCGTTCCGGAGATATCTCAACCCGGCGCAGGTCAGCGCGCCGCCTGCAGGCAGGCCCGGGGCAGGCGGCGCAGGTCAGCGCGCCGCCTGCCCCGCCGCCGGCACCGAGCGGCGCCCAGTCACGCCCCGTCGCTCGACCCCAGCCCAGTCACGCTCCGTCGCTCCACCCCAGCCCGGTCACGCTCCGTCGCTCGACCCCAGCCCAGTCACGCCACGGCGCTCGACCCCAGCCCGGTCACGCCCGTCGCTCGACCCCAGCCCGGTCACGCCACGGCGCTCGACCCCAGCCCAGTCACGCCCCGTCGCTCGACCCCAGCCCAGTCACGCCTCGTCGCTCGAACCCAGCCCGGTCACGCCACGGCGCTCGAACCCAGCCCGGTCACGCTCCGTCGCTCGAATCCAGCCCGATCACGCCCCGTCGCTTGAACCCAGCCGGGTCACGCTCCGTCGCTCGACCCCAGCCCGGTCACGCCACGGCGCTCGACCCCAGCCCGGTCACGCCCGTCGCTCGACCCCAGCCCGGTCACGCCACGGCGCTCGACCCCAGCCCGGTCACGCTCCGTCGCTCCACCCCAGCCCGGTCACGCTCTGTCGCTCGACCCCAGCCCGGTCACGCTCCGTCGCTCCACCCCAGCCCGGTCACGCTCTGTCGCTCGACCCCAGCCCTGTCACGCTCCGTCGCTCGACCCCAGCCGGGTCACGCTCCGTCGCTCGACCCCAGCCCGGTCACGCTCCGTCGCTCCACCCCAGCCCGGTCACGCTCCGTCGCTCCACCCCATCCCAGTCACGCTCCGTCGCTCCACCCCAGCCCGGTCACGCTCCGTCGCTCCACCCCAGCCCGGTCACGCTCTGTCGCTCGACCCCAGCCCGGTCACGCTCCGTCGCTCCACCCCAGCCCGGTCACGCTCCGTCGCTCGACCCCAGCCCGGTCACGCTCCGTCGCTCCACCCCAGCCCGGTCACGCTCCGTCGTTCGACCCCAGCCCGGTCACGCTCCGTCGCTCCACCGCAGCCCGGTCACGCTCCGTCGCTCGACCCCAGCCGGGTCACGCTCCGTCGCTCGACCCCAGCCGAAACTGAATCCACGGGGCCGACCAGGCCTGCGCTCGGCGCCGAAGTCGGCGTCGTTGTGGTATAGACTCGGCGGTTGCAGTTTGGGTGAAATGTGGATCAAACATGACGGATTCTGAGGGATTAGTGCGTATTGTCGTATCTCCCTCGTGCCGTCGTTGTATGTGACGGTGTTGCGATTTTCTGTCATCTTCCTTTCTCCCTACGCATACCATGGTTCACATTTTTGACTGTTTTGTCAGTACTAACCAATAACCGTGTCTATTTATTTTCTCTCCACCTCGAATGGAGAATCTCAGCACTGTCATATGTTTCTGTGTTGGTAGCTGCTGTGAGTCGCATAACAAAATAAGTTTCCAGTGTCTCTGCCCTGCAGCTGACTTGTGTGCCAGTATAAGTACATCTCATCGTGGTGGTAGCTGGCCGAGGAGGAAGGTCAGGAACGGTGCCATCTAGTGAGCCACGTCCGGACTGTCAGTTGTCGATGTCACCGACAGGTGGTGGACCTGGCGGAGCAGCGGCCGGAGGACGGCCTGGAGTGGTGCCACCTGGTGGGCTCCGAGAGGTGTCGCGTTCTCGTGGCCGGAGGTGATGGCACGGTCGACTGGGTGCTGAACGCCATCGACAACCTCAAGCTCGAGGCAGGTCCACTGCACTGCTCTGGCACTGTTGTCGTTTTGCAGCGGGGTAAAGTTGCGTTTGCCAGTTGCACTGCTCAACCCCATGTATTGTTGCATTTGAAGAAGTTTGGTTATGTTAAGCTGTACCAGTTTCGCACGGACGGCAGGTGCAGGGTGCTCTGTGTTGAACATATTTCTTTCTTGAACGCGTTGAACATATTTCCGTTTATGTAAGCCCTGAACCCTTTGGTGTGAAGCTAATTGCGTGGTCGGATGGTCTCATGCCCATCAGGTATTTGGGAATCGTGATTGTGTACTAACTGTACACATTGGCTGACTAACACAGCATCACACTGCGGTAAAGCCTTGCAGACATCCATGAAGTCTCCGCCAGCCATCATCCTGCCAGTGGTTGTACTCCAGCATGAGTTAACCGTTATCAAGCACATTTTCACGCCGATCACCAGCCAATGAGCGCCGACATGTCCGCCTGTGTCTCTGCCGCCATCTATGCGCCGCCACCAGCAGCGGTGTTTGCTTTGGCCGCCGCTGGTGGCGCTGTCCGCTGACGCTGGCGGTGCCGCGCAGCCACCGCCGGCCGTCGGTATCCTGCCGCTGGGGACCGGCAACGACCTGTCGCGCGTGCTCGGCTCGGGCGAGGCCTACACTGAGGTGGACCCGCAGCGGGTCATGCGGCGGCTCGCCGACGCCCGGGTCATCCTCGTCGACCGCTGGCTGGTAAGTGAGCTCCGGCGATGGCCGCGCCGCTGACTGAGCTGGTGCTGTGCCGATCCGGGTGGCGTGCCCTCGCGGTTTGACCTGCTTTCAGGGATAGCTGGATAGGAAGGCATCAGTGTAGGATATGATTTGCTCCACTGAGTCCCCCCCCCCCTCCATTGTTGAGGCCTTCGCTTGCATCTAAAACGTGTGGTAAAGTAATTAAGCTACTGTACCTACTGACGCCATTATACTGGCTTGGACAGCATCAACTATATCTGAGGTTGTGCGATTATGTAAGAGGCGAGGTCCAATGTGCGCGAAGTTTTCTTTTGTGGTTCTGCCTAATCCGTGGTTGGTAGAACCAAAAACAGCTGATGCGATGAGCTGGTTAAGGTCGATTTGAGCTTGGGTGTTTTCGGAATATCTATGGGTTTAACTGTGGGAACACTGATATTTGCGAATACACTAATACATATGTCGACGCATGCGAATATTGAGTCTGATATCCCAAACATGAAAGATCAACTATAGAGAAGCTTCAACAGCCGTCAGGTAGATTCATTCTTGTCAACCCTCGCGCCTACTAGAATGTAACGGACCCGTGACCCCCACGTAGGTCCGGCTATAATTAACATCCCGTAGCTCCCAGGTACGTTACTGACCTGGCACGCTGGCACTGCTCGGTGGAGCACACTGGCTGCCGGCTCATGTGACCCCCGTGAAGCGGATGCGCCTGATCCTGCCCCTCTCCGTCGGAGGTGTACCGGCTAACGTCCCGCCCCTTCCCTTGCCGGAGGTGCAGCAGCTGACCGCCGAGCCCTGGCCGTGCCGCAGGTGCAGCTGGACCCCCTGCGGCACGTGCACCTGCCCGGCTCCACGGTTCGCATGACCAACTACGTCAGCCTGGGCGTGGACGCGCTGGTGACGCTCAACTTCCACAAGACGCGCGAGTCGCCGCACTACCTCTGGAGCAGCCGGCTGGTGAACAAGGTGCGTGCCGGCACTAGAGGTGGGGGGGGGAGGGGGGGGGGGGCGGGATGACGCCTGGTGCGTGCCGGCCCGAGAGGGGGAGGCTGACACCTGGAACAGCCGGCTGGAGAGGGGGGGGGGGGGGAGGGGGCCGACACCTGGAGCAGCCAGCTATTGAACAAAATACCTGCTGGCCCGAGAGGGGGCGGGCTAACACCTGGAGCAGCCAGCTGGTGAACAAGGTGCTTGCCGGGCCGAGAGAGGCGGGCTGACGCGTGGCCAGGCCTGGGCACGCCCCTTCAGTCCGGCTCCTGACCTGCTGACCGGGTGTGCTCCGGAAGCCTCGGCTGAGTCATGTGGCGCGTGTTTGTTCAGGTGGGGTCGCTGTGGAGCTCTGGGAGATCTTCACAGGTCATAGGCTGCCTGTTGATTTGTTAAAGGTAGTGAAGTTTCTCTAATTAATGGTGGTTTATTATTTACCTGCTCTGGCTGTTTTGTGGCTCAAGTAGAATTGAACGGCATGTATGTCCGAAGTCCAGACTCTGGACCCTTTTGGTGAGTTCATCCATATAATGGCAACACAATACAGCACAGACACTAATATAATGCAAACAAAAGGTGACCATTCAGTCAGCTGAGCACTCACTGACGGTGGCTTCTGCGGGTGTCTGTGATACTTCGTTCTCGGGTTTGCGTGCTTTCTCTGCGTATTCTCCTCCGCCATGATAAAACCAGGGTTTGAATCTTTCCGGTTTCGTGCACGTGCGCTCACGTTTTTGCGTGGTCCGCGAGATAGTCGCGTCGGCAGACAGTCAATCAATGACACCACCTTGAGGCGCCCACGCGTGTCAGCGTGCCCGGGCTCTCTTCCGACGCCTTCCGGCCGCCTCAACGTACCCCCAACGCCCGGGTGTGACAGCCTCCCTGCCCTGTCGCCCGCAGCTGATCTACTTCTGCTACGGCACCAAAGACGTGCTGGAGCGCGAGTGCAAGGACCTGCAGCGCAAGCTGACCCTGAAGATGGACGGCCGGCTGGTGGAGCTGCCCGACATCGAGGCGCTGGTGGTGCAGAACATCGCCACCTGGGGCGCTGGCGTCAGGCCCTGGGAGCTGGGACAGGGTGGGTGCTGTCCAGAGGTGGCGGGGCTGGTGGTGGGGAACTGGGCTGGCACAGGGTCCGCACAGGTGTCTTGGAGCGGAGCAGCGGCGGGGCTTGGTTCTGGTAAGCGTGTCTCAGTTACGGAGATGGGGCGAAGCTTTGTGGACTTCGAGAGACGCGTAGTCGGGTCTCCGGAGGTCTTCGATGATCCATTGCGCCGTGGTGTCCTGTCGTCTCCGTTCGTCTCGCGCCGAACCCGCGCATCCAGGCATCGACTGACCTGGGCGGGCTCCGACGGTGCTGCCATCTGGACGCCACGACGCCCGTGTGCGCGAAACTCACCAGCGTTGGCTCCATAACACAACGGCGTGCTGTTGTTCACCAGACCACCATAATGTGATCGCCTGACATCGCTTGCCGCGGCGCGTTCGTGCGAATGCGGTAGAGCTCGGCCCGTGCGGTGATTGGTCGGACCGCCGCCGTGCCCCTCTGGTGGTGACCCCCATCTGCCCCGCGGCGCAGGCGCCGGGCCCGCCGGCCGCCAGCGGGCCGACGACGGCCTGCTGGAGGTGTTCTGCGTCTACTCGTCGTTTCACATCGCTCAGATGCAGGTGGGCCTGTCCGAACCGCTGCGGCTTGGGCAGGCCCGCACCATCGAGGTAGGTGGCAGCCCTGGCGCAGCGGCGCGGCCCCGGACGGCCGCTCCCTTCGCTGGGGCAGGGGCAGGGCGGGCGGGCTCGCCTAGCACCGCTGTGGTGTTAATAGCAGAGATGCGGTTTGGTTTGTGACGTTGACTTTTTGAACGGCTATAGCCATCAGTGTCGCAATATGCTGTGTCAATCGTAGCGGGAAAAAACCGAAACGCAGCCCCGTGGTGACCCTCATGACATGAAAATGAGCATGTACCCTGCTTAGATCGCGCGGTGCAGGGCCAGAAACGGGGCATTATTCGTGACGATTTTGGGTCTTGGACCATTTGATCCTAAACCAAAGACTAGCCACCCTCATGGAGTATAGTTATCTTTGAAAACAAATACTTAAGGGACGCCCACGTCCGTGCCCTGCGGACCAAAGATGCAACCTAAAGTTTTTCTTAGTGCAACTGCCTGCCGAAACTAGGCCTCGAGCCCGCACCCTGCGGCTTGCGGCAGGTCCGCCACTCCTAGCTGCGGCGATTGAGCGCGTGACCATGCCTATGGGCTGGGAGGTTAGCCTCTGCCTGCGTCAGGTCGGGGGAGATCCCCTCACCTGGGACTCGTGACCCGAGACGAGCGTGCCGCACAGGGACAACCGGGCAAGACCTGCCACCTTGGCTGGTTGGCTGCGTGCATATGTGTTCCAGCCGTCCATGTCGTGTTTGTTTTCATCCCAGAGGGCGGCTCGCGCGGTTATTATCGCCCACTTGATACATAGACCCACGATAGCGATAGACCCACGATAGCGATAGGCCCACGATAGCGATAGACCCACGTGATATGGTTCTGACAGCAAAAGGTGAAAATGTGTAGCGCAATTTCTTGGAGATGGAGTTGTCGATATTCGATTTAGCTCGAAGACCTGCATCTTGTGACCTAAAGACACAAATGCGGAAATATTTGCTTCCGAAATATGTCCAAATTTCCCTTTCTAGGGGTATAAGTGGTTCGATGCGCCGAAACCTGAAAGTGCTTCTCCTGGTCAGTTAGCGTGGTGGTAGTTACGCCAGTTTTACCTTTGGACGGCAGAGATGCATTCACATAATTACGGCCAAGTCTGATATGTCACGATCCTGCGTGACAAACGAGACCAGATGAGATGAGCAGCAGCCAATCAGCGTCCGGCGAAGCACCAGCCGGCGCGGTGCACTGCTCTCGAGCTCGGCACCTGTGACTAACCGGTGCCGCGGGGTCGCCCAGGTCACGCTGTGCTCCAAGGTGCCGATGCAGCTGGACGGCGAGCCGTGGGAGCAGGGGCCGTGCGTCATCCGCGTCTCCCACCACAACCAGGCGCGCATGCTGCAGATGGCGTGGCCCGAGGGCTGACCGGCCGGGCGCGACCGATCGCGGCCGCAGGGGCGAGCCGGGTCAGGTCAGGGCGGATGAAGCGGGGTCGGATCAGGACGGACTAGCTCAGGTTGGGTCAGCAGGCAAGGCCAGGCCGGGGACGCCGCTGTCAAGGCCAGATCTGGTCAGTCGGAGCCTCCTCCCGTCCGGGGCGGGCGAGGGCGAGCCAGTGACGGCCGAGCTAGGGCAAGGTCGGACCGGACCGGGCGAAGTCGGCGGACCGTTACGCGTCGTCCGGGCCGCTCCCGCCCGTCCGGTGTCCAGCCTCGCCCGCCTGTGGCGCCGGCCGCGCCGCGGCTGGAGCCGCCCCGGCCGCCGCCGAGCGCCGGGAGGCCGGAGGAGAGACAGAGAGAGAGAGGGCGGGAGCGGCCGGCGCAGCTCTGCGGTACGGCGGCACTTCCAGCCCGGCGGCAGCCGCCGCCTGCCCACCGAACACACCAGCGACACGCACAGTCCGGCCCGTGTCGGCAGCGCTGGTGACGCAAGAGCTGACCGAACAGCGCTCCTGGATAGCGGCTGGATTGTCAGATGGGCGGGGCCCGTGTGCCGCCCGCGTCGAGCTTAAGCCCGGGTGGTGCATGTTAGTGTCAGTGGTGAAAGTGTAGCATGACCCGTTTTACGCAGCCCGAGGCTCGTTGTCTCCATACTTTTATTGTTATTGCGACTCGCACGCGCGGTGTCCTAAGCGTTGACCGCGGCTCTTTGTCACGCAGCAGCGGTTCAGTCCAGCGTTTGGTTGTTGTGTTCACGTCTCGTGCCAGTTCTTGTCGCGCGGATGTCGGTGTGTGACTCGTCGTGTTTTAAAGTGTTGTTATTGCGCGCCGCTGTAGCGTGACCCTCGTGTTCTTCCTTGGCGTCTCCCCGCGCGCCCCGCGCTGTCAGCGTGTGAACGCAAGTAGAGGTGACGACCGGCGAGCTTCTGTTCCTAGCAGAACCATTGACTGCTGGTTGTGCTCCCTGCTTTCCCCGCCAGCGCAAAGCGTGCACTGTTGTCGGGCATTACTTCCCGTGTACTCTGCCTGTTCGTGTGCCTGCGTGGCCCGCGGTCCGCTAGTGCGCTGCTGTTGCGGAATAGTGTCCTGCGTCTCGTCCGTCGACCCGCCTGCCAGCGCGGCTGACGTGACGCTGGGGCCGGCCTGTGTCGGCTCGGGCAGCCGCTGGGGCCGGCCTGTGTCGGCTCGGGCAGCCGCTAGGCTGGCCTGTGTCGGCTCGGGCCAGGCAGTCGCTAGGGTCGGCCTGTGTCGGCTTGGGCAGCCGCTGGGGCCGGCCTGTGTCGGCTTGGGCAGCCGCCAGGGCCGGTCTGTGCCGGCTCGGGCAGCCACCGCCGCTGTGCCCTGGCGTACGTGGCAGGGCCGGGGAAACGGAAGGGATGGTGTGTTCATAGGGAACGCAACATGTGTAGGAAGTCCGCGGTGACCCCTGTGGCTTATGCGGGCGTGGTTATTATTAGTTCGGTTGTGCTGTAGGCGCGGGAAATGAAGTTGTATGCATCAGACGTATCCATTCGTGTTCAAGCGGATTGACAGCTGGGATGTTTTAATGGGATGTATTTTTCAACTCTTTGTATTATTTTGTTACGCGCTTTCATTTAACTTCGTGATGCATTCCAAATATTTACAGTACCTGCACTTCTGTGTCAATAAAATGTATCGCGCTGAACCCGAACGTGCGTGGTCCGAACTTTGTGAGTTTTTTACAAAAAAAATAGCGAAACCAGTCTGGACAAGCTACGGCCCATTCAGGGGTATTGGGCCCAGACGAAAATTGCGGCCGTGCAGGAGACAGGAAATTCGTGCGATTGAGCTGTAGTGGAGGCCATGTGCGAAACGAGTGGTTGTGGGGTACCGTGGACCGTCGGTTGGCCATCGTGACTCACGGCTGTAGTTCCATTTCTTGTTTAAAAAAACGTCATTATTTACGAGGTTTGCTGAACTATTTTCAAAGCATTTGCTTGTAAGCTTTCTGAACAACCTTGCTTGTCATCCAAACTTCCAATATGATGCAATTTTACCCACCCATTAGGTTCAAGCGAGAAGGATAAATTTCCAATTGGAAAACATCGCACATTCCGAACAGAGTTCGATCTCGGACCTGGACGAACCGAGGCCACAACGACATGACTGAGCATGGTTTTACCGAGAGAGGAAGGGGAAATCTACGAGACGAACGCACGTCTTATCAAGCGCGCTCGGCACGTGCTGTGGATCCACAGTTATGTTTTTGCAGCGCTCCTTTTAAGAGCAATGATCCGCCAAAAGACGTTTTTAAACGAAATTTGTAAAGTTGTGGCGCAATCCTTCGATCTCTACCGTGTTTCGCTTTACCAGGAGCTCTCCTCAGGAATCGTCCATAACTCACGTTGCGTATTTTTGGCTGTTTTCAAGCCTTTCCTGCTGACACTGGTCGCGTCGGGCGAACACCCCCCCCCCCCCCTCTCCCTGCCTGGTGCCACTGCGTTAAGTGTGCAACCGGACAGCGTTAAGCGTGCAACCAGACTGCGTTAAGCGTGCAACCAAACTGCGTTAAGCATAGCGTCCTAAAAAGTGAACACCCATTTAGCTCGTCATTGCGCAGAGGCACGGGACAAGGACGACGTGTTGTTTATCATGAGAGAAAGCTGACGTCATCCGCCTGGTTTGAATTCGTTTTTTACATAAATAACTGGCACGGATTGCAACCACACATGAGTGTAACGTCACACTGCCGTCACGTCTGACGTCATTCCCCCTGTTACGCTACTGCCCCTCCCCTTGTTGCGCTTCGGTCACGCCCATACAGCCTCGATCCATGCGTAGTGTAATAAATAGGCCTGTGCAATAATTTTGTAATGTTTTTGCCTTAGCACCGATCGAGGCTGGTCGGCGAGTACCATTTTTGCGTGGGTGGCGTGTTAGTTTATGGGATCAGGCCGATGGCGTAGCGGAAGCCACAGCGTCCCGGGTGCTAGGAACACGCCGAAGTTAAAAATCTGTGTTTGAAGCCTGAATTTGGTTCATTCTGGAAGCAGTTTGGGAAACGCTTCTGATAAGTCCACTCGCTCGAAGGAAAAACGCCAGGTCCCGGCAACCAGAGCAGATGCATGCTTTAAAGATATTGCGCAGCCTAGACGAATGTGCCGTCTACAAATGACAGGCATCTTACATATCCGCACTGTGTGGACGCCAGCAATTTGCCGGGAAGCGGTCAAGGCAGCCTCCTAGCAATCAATTCCCAATATAGGTCAATGAAATCTAAAACCAGACAGAACCATAGAAACCATAAGGTCATAAAACCCGACTAACTGTTACCCAGACGAAAAGTTATTAATCATGGGCGCGTTCAACTAGACTAACCGTAGTTATCCAGCTTTGAAGTGTGCGTATTTGCAAACGCCTGGACCATCAGCATAATATTGAGTGAATTGAATTAGTCGATAGAGCTGACCGAAATTAACTGGGCTGGCAATATTCATACAATGTTAGCCCCTTGCTGGCCAAGATGCAAGGAATACCGTCCCTGCATTAGCGCGCGCATGCAGTAAGTGAACTTCTCCGAGCATAAGTTTCGTAAGACTATGAAGAGCAACGATAAGACCCTTTTCTATGCATTTCGGAATCGTCGGATTCCATTTACTCTCAGTGGTCTGATTTCATTTACCCTTAGTATTTGCCAAAATATGCCATGCGATATGATCATGATGATCATGATCATGACCACGATCATGATCATGGTCATGATCATCGTCCCGCTGGTTCGAGCAAAACAATACTTAAACGGCGTTCAGACGTTTGGTTGTCCAGGTATGCATCGTTCTCATAACAAACTTGTCTTTTAGTTGGTGATGTATGTCGTGCGATTCATACGCACCAATATTATGGACGAATAAGCTTTATTGCTTATGAGAATGCTTCAGCCTTCAGCCGTGATTGCCGTGATTGCCGTGTCGTGTCTGCCGTGATTGCCTCAACGACACTCACCGGCACAAGCGGCCAATTATTGTCCAGCGTGCGTAGTCGAAGCTACTTTTTTCGTTTGGCACGCGCTGCACCACCAGCCGTTTCCTCCGACGTCGGACGCACACTCATTGTGCGGCTTGGTTTGTGGTCACTGCTGTTTCTTTGTTGCACCTCCTTCCTTTTGTTCATCTTTGTCCTCACAACACGGCAAACGGCAATAAATAACCGCATAATGCGACAAAACATCGTGTCATCTAATCGACAACGAATGATCGATAAGCAACCGTGTCAAAACATCACTAGACCGGTGGTGGGGATTTCAGTTTGCCTGGACCACAAGCAGGAACAAAATCAGAAACTCACCAAACACCGCAAATCCAACAGCCTTGCGCCGTAGCTGAAGACAATATTGAGAAAAGAATGCATCCCTTCACTACTTTCCGATCGCAGAACGGAATGGACACGAATGCGCCAATATTACAGCGGACAAATTCATCACACGCATTGACACTGGTACCGCGGGCTTTTTTTCTTTTGGCTATCTTTAAGCACTCCTCAACAGCTCCTGTAGCAAAAATACATGAATAACAGGTACATTCGGAATGGCGTATCGAACAGAAATGGTGTGCAATATTTCAACAGTACGTGCCAAATGGACAGTGGCCAACCTGCTCCTTAAAGTTTATGGCTCGCCTCAAAAAAATAATGCACCTGGGTTTTCTCTGGTTGGAGCATCGTGGCTCCCGGAACAGGTGTACCATGGTTGCTCAACGATGATAGCGTATTGCACAACACCCGTGCCAACAACTCTGAGAGCCACGAGCCGAATCGACCGTGGGCCAGGCCGGCCTGGCCCGTGCCAGTGGCCCTACCAGGCAGGAGCCCGGCACAAGGCAGCCGCAGGCGAGCCTCCCGGGGAGCTCGCGGAGCCTCGCCTCCCGCGGAGCCTGGGCTGGAGCGAGAGGCGCGAGCCTGGAACCGGCGAACTCCCGGGGAGGCGGGGAGGCGGCCCTCACCCCCTGCCGCTATCACAGGCTGTTTCGAGGCGCGCGACCGGCGCGTGGCAGGCGGACAGGCGCTACGGGGCAGGGAGCTCCCACTCACCCACGCACGCACGCACGCACGCACGCACGCACGCACGCACGCACGCATGCACGCACGCACACACACACACACACACACACACACACACACACACACACACACACACACACACACACACACACACACACACACACACACACACACACACACTCGGAGAGATGGTGCGCGTCCCGACCAGCGGGCAGGGAAGCAGCGCACGTGCATCCCGGGGATCCAGGCGATCTAGAAGCCGGGATTGTCGTGGAGTGCGTTTCGGGGCACTCCAGAACTCGGACAGGGCGGGGCGGGGTAGGGGTGAGAGGGAGGAGGCGTGGTGCGAGAGATGCTGAGCACGGCGGTAAGGGCGACGTCAGCTAGTGACGCTGTGACACCCGGACAGGCTCGGCTGTGTGGAGGTGCTAACTCAGCGGCTGGGCGGTGCCGTCGGCGGCAGCGGCGTTGTGGGCGCGAGGCTTGGTGAGTCGAAAGGTGGAGTCGCGGCGTGGCGGACTCATCGCTGCCGGCTCCGTGGGATCAGCTGATCGGAGACGTATCAGAACAGCTGGCTGGCTCAGACACGGGGCTGAAGAGTCACCCGGTCCAGCCGCGGTGCTGAACAGTCAGCCGGGCAGACGGTGAGCTGGCTCAGATCGCTGAGGCTGACTGTGACTCGAGTCGATCAGCCGACTGAACAGCCGGCCAGGCCGAGTCGCTGGATCTGGTCGTGACTCAAGGTGGCCAACTGACCGGACAGCCGGCCAGGCCGACTCGCTGGGTCTGGTTGTGACTCAGGGCGGTCAGCTGATCACACGATCGATCAAATCAGCCTGTCCGGAGTTCCGGACCGTCAGCTGATCTGAGGCAGCACGTGTTGCCCTTCTGACCCGTACTGAGGCCAGCCGTCTGCTCCGTCCGGAGCGGGTCCGACCGGCCTTCACACACTCCTCGCCTCAAGTTCAGCTTAGTAGTCGTCGATGTAATCTGCGGAGCATGGCGCACCTGTCACCGTGTCATATTTTGACTGCGGCGGACGACCTCAGGTTTGATTCTAAGCGATTCACTGCAGCTATGAGCCACGGGGTGATCGTGACACATGCTCGTTGAGGCAGAGCACGACGCAAAAGAGGGGTTTATGGCCCATACGAAGACACGGGGGCCCCATAAGGCTTACTTCACACATCGTGCCAGAAGAAAAACAACAGCAGCAAATTCTGAAAATTATCCCGATATCATTTAAAAGTACACCAACGCTCAGTAGTCAAATGCATCACCGTACACCAGAGTGCCTCCCTGTGACCCAGCTTTGTCCCGTCGCGTGTCTGGTCAGGTGTCCGCTCCTCGGCCGGACCCGGTTAGCGGGCGGTGAGGGGCGGTGCCGAAGTGACACACCGTGCGGCCCCAAGCGCGGCTCCGGTGGGGGTGGCGGCAGCGGCAGTGAGTGTGCTGCGGCGTCTGGGCCGGGCCGCGGCCGCGCGCGGCTCGGGGCGGCACGGTACCGTCTCGTCAGGTGCGGAGGCCTCGCGCTCCTGGAGGGACCGTCTAGGGCTCGTCTCCGCCTCCGTCAGCCGCCGGGGTTTCGCCTTCGCCTCCCTCCTGGCCTCCAGCATCCGCTCCCTCCGGCTCGACGTCGCCTTCCTTCTCCGGCTCCGCAGGTGATGGCTCGTCAGGCGCGCCGGCTTCTTCCTTCTCCGACTCTGCAGCTGCTGGCTGTTCGGGCGCTCCGGCGTCTTCCTTCTCCGACTCTGCAGCTGCATCCTCCTCAAGCGCTTTGGCGCCTCCTCCCTCTTCGCCGTCCTCACCCTCTCCCTCCTCCTCTCCTGCTCCTCTGCCGTCCCCCTGTCCTCCGTCCTCCCCGCCCTCCTCGCCGTCGGCGTTCGGTCCGTCCTCAGGCGCCGGCGCCGCGTCCCCTTGCTTCTTCTTCTTGTACGCTGGCGTTCAAGAGCGCGAGCTTAGCTGAGCGAGTGGGGACGCGCAGGCATGGGCCAGCTAAGCGCGGTGAGTGGCCGAGCGGGGCGGCGGAGGTCAACAGCGGGTGTGGCCCGGCGGAACGCCGTGTTGCGAAGCAAAGCTCAGCACAGCAGACGTGCACCGCCGAGTAAAGTTGCAAAATCACACCGGCAATACCGGTGAGCACTGCACAGCACAAGGAAAGGTACAAAGCGAAGTGGTAAAGGGGTGAAGAGGTAAGCGGCCGGAGAGCAACTTTGTTTCTGACAGCCCATTTACTCCCATCTCCATGTGGTTAACAGGAAATAAAGGGTGAACATGTCAACCTTCTGCCCTAAATATTGCTTTGTAAGCCGCAATGTCCGCATTGGGGCCCCCAAACCCAGAGGTTTGGGCCCACCACGGACTGGATTCACCAGATTATATTTGGATTTGGGTCCCCCAGTAAGTTGGGTTTACCACAAAAGCAGCAGATACTCGAATTTCGTGGAAGCTCCTGATCCCCGAGCTGTAGCCGAAGGCGTGAGTTACTGCCGTCCCCCGGCACCCCCGGTACTCCTGGTACTTCTGGTACTCCCCCGTAACTCCCGGCACTACTTCGGTGTCCCTGATACTCCCCCATACTCCCGGTACTCCCGGTGCTCCTGGTACTCCCGGTACTCCCCCGGTACCCGCTGCTCTCCGACCGCTGTACCATCTTCCAACGGGAGCTTTATGATCCTAGCCAGGCGAAGGCACACGTTGGCTGGCCGTACCGGCTGTGCCAACTCATTTGCACAGCAGGGAACATTTAGCCACAGCGAGAAAGAACCCTCTGGTTTTGCGACAGAAAAAGCGGCAGGAAGAGGTTCGACACACCATCTTAAGCAGCGCCAGCACATCAAGCATCCTTAACCGGAGAAGAGCGGCAGCACGTCCTGGTAGGTGTACACACAAGTTCATGCAGCGTGGCTCTACCTCTGGGGTGTTTGATGCGCTCTTTGAGATCCCTCGTCTTGGCGTCCAGTCTCTCCACATCCCGCTTCAACACCTCCGTCTCTTGCTCGCGCTGGGGGCGGAACGGGTGGTCTAATGGTCAGAATCCTCCCGCCAGATTACTCAAAGGCGTGCTGGGTCAGTTATGCATGTATGAGCACGGTGGCCTGCTTTTATCGAACTATCCACCTAAGCCAACAAAGGAGCGGATTGACGGGCGTTGGTCGTGTGTTTCATTACGGCAGCTGAAAGGCAGAGCGAGGGAGGAGAACCTTAGCAGTAAGCAACCAACGAGCGTGTCTTTTCTTCCTAAGGGAGGACATTAGACATACAATGAAGCGTTCTCGCTATGAAAAGGTAGACTACAGAATCGAAAGAAAAATCATTGGCCTTGGCTTAAGATAACCACAATTCCCTCCGACGAGAAACGTGGAGAACGAATGATCGCCTCATTCTGGCAGCCGACGATGGTCAGCGTTTCACTTACCGTTCTCTTCTCATCCTTAACCTTTTCGCCGAGCGTGGTTTTGATGATCTGCACGGCCTCGGCGAGCTTGGTGACGGACGTTTGCGTGTCGTCCACGTCTTGCTGCACGCGAGCCTGTGGACACCGGCAGGTTTCACTGAAGCTGGACGAACGAGCCCATACAGACGTATTGATGCTGACAGACGTCATGCAGACTAATCTGGGCGGCGTTGTGGATGGGCTTTCCTGCGTTAAAGCGAGGCTTTGCGACAGAGTAAGACTCACAAAAATTCTGTATCACTGCGAATGGTGGTGACCGAAATGTAAAGCCAAAAGAAGATTCCTGATTGCCAGATTACGGAGTTATATGCAATGAAGAGTTGCGGCGACCAACTGCGGTCGATATTGACGTTGGAAGGGCGCGGGGGGAACTAAACCATCGGACTCACCAGACTGGTACCCCCGCCGCTGTCCTCTGAGCCCATCAGGCGGCCGAGGTCGCGCCGCAAGTCCTCCACGTCCTCGGTCCTCTCGCGCGTCTCCTGCTCCAGCTTCTTGTTCAGCCGCGACTCCGTCTCCTGTAGCTGCTCCTTCACCTCGGCGATCTCGCGCGGACACTCCTGAGGAGTGGATACGAGTGGACAATGAGCGCTCCTGAGGAACGGTGACGCCTGAGGAACTGTGACGCCTGAGGAACGGTGAAACCTGAGGAGCGGTGACGCCTGAGAAAAGGTGACGCCTCAGGAACGATGAAGCCTGAGGAACGGTGACGCCTGAGAAACGGTGACGCCTCCGGAACGGTGAAACCTGAAGAACGATGACGCCTGAAAAACGGTGAAACCTGAGGAACTGCGACGCTTGAGAAACGGTGACGGCCGAGGAACTGCGACGCCTGAAGAACGGGGAAACCTGAGGAACGGTGACGCCTGAGGAACTGTGACGCCTCAGGAACGGCGATTCTGAGGAACGGATACTAGCGGGAACGATCACTCCTAAAAAGTGGACGCGCCTGAGGTACGGAGCCTTCTGTCAAACAGCCTGCGCTGAGATAGCTTCTCTCGTGAGAAAACATCACTGAGGGGAGCGGATGCTTTTGGCGAACTGCCATCTGTGAGGGATATACTGGGAAACTGTCACTCCTGAAGAAAACGTCTTGGACCGCTCCCTCCACGAAAAGCTCTCGTGTGCGAAATGACCACCTCTGGCAAAAGTGGGCACCCCGGAGTAACGGACACGTGTGGAGGCCAGATTCTCTTGAGGAGAAGGCGCCAGCTGAACAGACACGGGCGAATTCCAGATACCGCTGACGAGCAAGCACTACGATAACATAAAGCCAACTTAATGGACGACGAACAGATAAAATATGGCCTAAAACGACCAGCACCACAAGCAAATTGGCATAAAATGCAAGCCTCAACGAACGCACTTTCCGGAAGGATTTAACTCAGCAATCATCTTCCACGCAAAACCTGAACTGAAATGGTCTTCTTGCAACTTGAGACATCGCTGCCAACTCTTGATAGACATGCGATGCGAGACGCCTTGTTTAACCTACCGGAGAGCGCCCATTCGCGATTTCCACCTACAACATGAGGCTGCGGTCGAACACCTGGGACCATTACAACGCTGGCACTGTCCAGAGACTCTGGCCGAGCTGCGGCACCAGCCAGACGCGTCCAGCCGCAGCCGGCCCCTCGCCCTGACCTTGACAGTATCCTCCAGCTGGTCCACCTGGCGCTTCATCCTCTCCTGGGCGAACATCACCGAGTCCATCTTCTGCGTCAGCTTGTCGCCCATCATGTTGCTCTCGTTGTCGTCCGACCGCTCCGCCTGCGAAGGCAGACCGTTACCACCTCAGATGGTGACAGAGTTATAGTGTTATGTTTCTGATGGCAGGAGGTCGCTATGATACCGTGTTTGTGACCGCACGCATACTCAGGTCCGCTCAATTCATCCCATATGTAACCAATAATCATTTTGTCATGCCACATGACTAGCTTGTGTTGTGTCGAGGGGTTCTGTTGTTGGGCGCTCTCGAATCGCTTGCAGATTGCCCTGTTTGGGTTTAATCAGTTGTCCATTATTATCTTATCATTTTTCGTTTATCATTTCATCAGTTGTTTATCATTTCTGACATCCATTTACGCTGATATTCGTTTTGATAAGAGCATGCAGCCTGAATATCAGTGTATCTATCTTTCCGTTCTCCCGGTTACTCTACGCGAAATAAGGCTAGAAGTACTGCTTTATCCATAAACACCCATTTGTGTTTACGTGGAGCTGGCGGCTAACTCGGTCTGCAGCCACCACAATCGATACGACCTCTCGCCTGTTGCACAAGGGTCTGGCGTGGCAGTCTTTGTGCTGCTTTCTCCGATCGACAGTGACCTGATAACCTGATTGGACGGCGATCCACAACCTGATTCTGTGCTGTGACCTCTAGCCTGATAGCACCGTGACCTCTGACCTGCTTCAGCTTGTTCTCGATGACCTCGTCTTGCTGTTCGACGCGCGTGCGGAGCTCCGCGATCTTGGTGTCTACGTCCGCAATCGACTTGGCCATCTGCTCCCGCACGCCCTCGTTGTTCATGTTCTGGAGACGCTCGATCTGGGGACGAGACACTGTCAGCGGGCGGACCGCAGCGGCAGGGCGATCAGGCAGCCGTGGGGGCACCGGCACGCGGGGAGCGAGTCCAGCGACACTTGCTATCCTCGGATGATCTTAATTATTGCTGGAGGCCGCGGTTTATATAGTCTTGACGCCTCCACCGCCGTGAAGTATTTCAGCACTGCTGTTCAAACATTGTGCAATACCGTGCCTAAACACAAGTTGCATAATTTTCCTGACGTTATGCCATCTATTTCGCATGTATACAATGGGCAACTGTAAGCCTTTCCGAAAGAGACGTGCGTCCGTTGCTGTTGGCCTCTATGCCCGATTATCTCCGCCACATTACCTACCCCTGGGGCAGTCCAGACGCCGGTGGGTTGTCAGTCCTGACGCCTCTGGCTAATCTCCCCTGCTGTTGACCTCTGTCACCGTGTCCACCTTACCTCCTCTATGGGCAGGCCTGGGGGCGGGCCCGGCTGGCCTCCCCTGCTGCTGACCTCTGCCACCGTGTCCACCTTACCTCCTCTATGGGCAGCCCCGGCGGCGGGCCCGGCTGGCCTCCCCTGCTGTTGACCTCGCCCACCGCGTCCACCTTGCCTCCTTTATGGGCAGCCCCGGCGGCGGGCCTGGCTGGCCTCCCCTGCTGTTGACCTCCGCCTCACTGTCCACCTTACCTCCTCTATGGGCAGGCCTGGCGGCGGGCCCGGCTGGCCTCCCTTGCTGCTGACCTCGCCCACCGTGTCCAACTTACCTCCTCTATGGGCAGGCCTGGGGGCGGGCCCGGCTGGCCTCCCTTGCTGCTGACCTCTGCCACCGTGTCCACCTTACCTCCTCTATGGGTAGCCCCGGCGGCGGGCCCGGCTGGCCTCCCTTGCTGTTGGCCTCGCCCAGCGCCGACTGCAGGGAAGCCATGCCGATGCGGAGGCGGTCGCTGATGTCGTCCACCTTGGCATCCATCACCTGCCGGCCCGTGACGGCGACGTCAGCAGCCCAGAAGAACAGCATAGGCGGAGCACGCGCAGCGCGTGCCAACGCGCTCGCAGCAGCCTGTCTGGTCAGGCGATGACGCCGGGTGGAAATGAATTGGAGATGGGTTTTCATTGGGCTTATTCGTCCGATAGGTACATCGTTTGAATACGACCGAGGCAGGCGTCGCCTCACGCTTCCCGCAGCTCAGCTCAGTGCAGCGCAGACATCAGCTCACTTATCTGATCTGATCCCCCATCTGATCAGTTCATGGCGCTGGACGAACTCGACAGACGCAAACGCACGGCACACTGAGGTCGGAGCTGTGGGATGAACGGACTGTAAGCAGCCCAGGTGTAGAGGTATCTGTGAAACTAGTCTCTTCCCCTAATCTGTCCATCTCAGCCTAACAATCATCCGTGCAGAGCAGCGCCGCGCTAACTTCAGCTGACCTTCTCCAGGTTCTCCCGCTCCTGCTCCTCCTTGGCCAGCTTCTTCTCCGTCTCCAGCTTGTCCTCGTTGAAGCTGCTCTCCAGCAGGTTGAGGCCGTCGTTCAGCTCCTTGAACCGCTGCCGGGTCTGGTCGTGCTCCGCCTGTGATGCCGTCAGGTCAGGTCAGGCCAGGTCAGGCCAGGCCATGACAGGTCAGGTCAGGACAGGTCAGGATACGACGGGTTGGATAGCATCATCATTCGCGTCTTACTTGTACCATGGCAACAGTTTGTTGTGGAATCAGGTGGAGATAGACAGGCTGACACACGCCACAGATCATCTCTTGTAGGATGTGATGGTGTCAGGTGGGGTCAAATCAAACTGCATGGGAAAGGACGAAGCGAGGTTTACCCGATCAATCGGTAAGTTAAACAAATTTATAGACAGATCCATCCGATATAATCGGAGCGTGCGGCCGTACTTAAGACTGATAACATGAAACCTGACATGAATACATGGATGGCGATCACTGGTCGTGAGAATTTTGGTTGTTGAGCCCTTTAACGTACATGAAAACACAACAAAACATGCCAATCGTCTGCATCATTTGACTGCCGGATCGACTGGCACACCGACCGGCAGCCTCGCCCTGCCGTCCTGACCTCCGTCATCTTGCGGATGCCGTTGAGCCCCTCGTCGCCGTACACCTTGATCTCCTCCAGCTTCTTCTCCACCTCGTCGCGCAGCGCCTTCTCGCGCGTGGTGCGCGCCGTCACCTCCTCCTGGAGCGAGGTCTCCAACTGCTTCACGCGCTCTCCCGTCTCGCCGCGCATCTTGTCCCCTCTGGCGAGCGGCGCGGACACGGCCGCACGCCGGTTAGAGCGGGCACGTGTGCTACCATCTACATGCCAATTGTTACTACATGCCATGTCTGCCATGCCCTACGCGGGCACGGCGGACATGGCATGGCATGGCGAACATGGCATGACATGGCAGACATGACATGTCTGTGTGCGTACGCGGTCATGGTGGTAAGCGCTGGGATACGCTGTCCCGCTGGACGGGAAACGGTAGAGTGAGTGAAACAAACTGACCGCGAAGAATACGCGGGATGGGCCACCATACACGTGATGAGTTAGTCGCATACAGTTTGTGGAGAAAGAGGGATGAAGGGTCACGCTTGTCTGCCGCGACCTCTGGCGGACCGGGGGGGAGCTGGTGCTGGAGGGAGGGCGGCAGCAGACTACCGTCAGAGATGGTTGGCCCGGGCCAACGCCCCGAATGGTGAGCCAGCCGACACAGCGACCGATAAACGATGTCGGACTCATGCATCAGTGCTGGTAGAAGTGGAGAAAGACGTGAGTGCGCTTCGAAAGAGCTGGACCAGGTTAGCTGCGGCAGAGTTCACATGTCGCCCAACCCATCTAGAGGATTCCAAAGTTAACCCCGCGTCTGGCGAGGGAGCAGTGTTTCGCGCAGAGACACGACGCGCCGGCAGCGTTGCCACCGGGCGATTTCTGCGCAGGCGCGCGCCCGTCCGCCCCTGGCATGTCTGCTGTTCCGCACGACAGCGCCTTACAGCGCCGTGTCGTGGCCCGGCGAGTTGGGCTCGCGTCACTACAGCGCGACCACGGAAGCAGCGGCGGTGAACCTCCCCCGGCCGACGCCTGGGTAGGACAGCTCTCGACCCGTGCTCACAACTGCCGCCGAGTGTTCCCCCTTGAGGCGGTGTGGTGCGGTGGAGTGCAGGTGGTGGTGTGGGGGGAGGGGTAGGGGTAGAGGTCAGGGAGCACCTGGCGGTGCTCAGTGGGTTCCGCGTGCGATTCGTCGGCGGCCGGATCCCGTGCTTGGCCTGCTCTCAGGACAAGCAAGGTTGGCCCTTGCTTGGCTTGGCCGTGATGGGGGCTCTCTCATATACACCACCGCTGCGGGGAGTGGACAGTGAAGCCGGGGTCACCGTAGAGAGGGAGACCATGCGGGCTGAGCTATCGCTTGCCGGACGCGGCCGGCACAGTCAGGAAAATTCACCGGTGGGGAGAGGGAACTGGTGGCGTCTCAATCGGAGCTGGGGCGGCCGTCACTGTTTTCTGTGGCGGTAGGCACATCGCTTCGGCCCCACCGGGCTGGTGAGGTGGTGGGCAGCGAGTTATTTGCGAGAAACACTCCAGTCGGTGGCTGTTTTGGCGTAAGCGCGTTCTCACTAATGAGCTCAACGGCAATGCGAAAGCCAGTCGGAATAGGCACAGCGATGAAACAGACAGCCGCCACGCGTAACAATTCAGCAGTAGGCTTTACCCGCCATCGTCGTTCCTGAAAATCAAGGACACGTGTCATTTCGGCACGGACAGACAGCTTCCAGTCACGCGCAACCAAGCTGATCACGCGGCACGTGTGACAGGACCATCCAGACAGCTGTGTGGGCAAGTGCATGGCTGGGAAATGTTTAATTCATCCGCAAATACCCGTAATACTTCTGATATACTGACCACCGTTTGCGTTGCGTCGCCCTGGGGTGCGTAGCCCCGAGCTACCGTCCCTTATGCGTTACGTTTCAGTGGGTCGTATCGTACTAGCTGTACGGTCGATTCACCATGGTTTTCCCCATTCGACTCACGTTTAGTGCCGAGCTCCATGTATGGACGGTTGGCCGGCAAGGAACAGAACTGCATAGTCCTGACCGGGCCCTGGTCCCCTGAACTGGGCTACTCTTGACCGGACCCTGGCCCCCTGAACTGGGCTACTCTTGACCGGACTCTGACCCCCTGAACTGGGCTACTCTTGACCGGACCCTGGCCCCCTGAACTGGGCTACTCCTGACCGGACCATGACTCCCTGAACTGGGCTACTCTTGTCCGGACCATGACCCCCTGAACTGGGCTACCCTTGACCGGACCCTGACCCCCTGAACTGGGCTACTCTTGACCGGACCATGACCCCCTGAACTGGGCTACTCTTGTCCGGACCCTGAGCCCCTGAACTGGGCTACCCTTGACCGGACTCTGACCCCCTGAACTGGGCTACTCTTGACCGGACCATGACCCCCTGAACTGGGCTACTCTTGACCGGACCCTGACCCCCTGAACTGGGCTAGTCCTGACCGGACCATGACTCCCTGAACTGGGCTACTCTTGTCCGGACCATGACCCTCTGAACTGGGCTACTTTTGTCCGGACCCTGACCCCCTGAACTGGGCTACTCTTGACCGGACCATGACCCCCTGAACTGGGCTACTCTTGTCCGGACCCTGACCCCCTGAACTGGGCTACCCTTGACCGGACCCTGACCCCCTGAACTGGACTACTCTTGTCCGGACCCTGACCCCCTGAACTGGGCTACTCTTGACCGGACCATGACTCCCTGAACTGGGCCACTATTGACCGGACCCTGACCCCCTGAACTGGGCCACTATTGACCGGACCATGACCCCCTGAACTGGACTACTCTTGACCGGACCATGACCTTCTCAGCTTCACCGACGTACCCTTTGCCCTTTCCCTGCACGCTCAGTTTTACAACGAGCTGTATGCCTTTTCCTGCCTGGCGGTTAGTTGGTTGTTGCCGTCGTGCTGTTACCCTGCCCAAACGGCTTTTAGTATCGAGCTCAATTCCTTTTTGTGCCCGCTGGACGTCACATGGGCGACTTCTGGCTTTCCCTGCCCGCCGGCCGTGCGGCAGTTTGCCAGCCGTTACCACAACACACGGCCGGCCGGCACTGGGTCATCAACGATGGTCCGGCCGGCTTATGGCGGCGGCGCAGGGCGGCATGCCACTGGGCCGACGAGGTCACGGTCTGCACCGCACGCCCGTCCCCCCCCCCCCTCCCCCCAGCGGTGCGGTCAGGGAGCTGATACCATCACCAGTGCTTTGTTGATGTTCAGACGGGGTTCATACGAGGTCACGGTCTGAACCGCACCCCCAGCGGTGTGGTCATGAAGCTAATACCATCACCAGTGTTTGGTTGATGTTCAGGCGAGGTCCATACGAGGTCACGGCCTGCACCGCATCCCCGGCGGTGCGGTCAGGGAGCTGATACGATCACCAGCGTATGGTGTGTGTTTAGACAGGTTTTCCCCGCCTGGGGATAATGAATGAAAGCCGACTAAAAACTTGAAAAGATAATTATATGAGGTTATGATATGTATTGGTTTTTAATTCACTATATGGGGCCTTCCATTGAGGGCCCACTCATTTAAGAGGAGGTGTTTTTTATGGGCACCGAAGCGGGCTTGACGGGAAAAGCGCCTCTATTTTACAAAGCGAAGCCGAGCCACTGTGGCGAGTGGAAATGAAAAGTGTGTGCGCTAGAGGAATGCCATATTGACTCTGACACGCTGCCTGACCCCAAACCACGGCGGCCGGCGCTGGTCCGCACCCGCGTGTTGACCCCGTCTCCGATGTCACAGACACCATCATACTAACAACCTGCACGCTAACCTTCGCGTTGTAATTTGTGTGTGAAAGGAACTCACTAGGGACTTAAAGTGTTTTCTGTGCTCAGTTCGCGGCGCTGAAGACGTCGGGTGGACGCTCACCATGTACGTACACCAGCTGTTTGCTAATGGAAAGGAGCAAATAACTGCTGGACCGACCCAGTGCTATTACGATGGCTTCAAGATAGAGGAAAGGTGGCTTGGCCTCAGGCGGATGGATGGGGCCTGCATACCATTGTTTCGCAATTTTGTCATGAAAATGTCGAGGAAGGTAGAAGAAAACAAAGAAAGCCTCAGGTTTCCCCAACGGGCTTGGGAAATGCTTGGGGTTTCCAATCTTCCCGTTCAGCCTGCCGTCGGCCATCGCTTGGGAAGCTTCGAATTTTCCCGAGCTTTCCCGATGGTCAGATGTCCTATTTGCTTGGGAAGTCAATGTAGTGCGCAATCGCCATAGCCAGTTTGGGGAACGCTCCAGACACCCCGCTTTGGAATTATTAGAAAACGGGCCGGAACAGGTTGGGAGTTCCAACTAAAGTTTCCCACTTTAAAGTTCCTACTTTCGGAGCTCATCACAATCGTTCCACAGTCGGAAAGCTGGGCAGCCGTCGGAATAGCCCGGATGGGATCGGACCGAAATTGCTGGCTGGACCTGCACTTGCGATTGCGCGTGTCTGTGAGTTCCCACCGGAACGACGTGACCTTTTACGTTCCAAACGTTCCAAATGGGCTTTAAAATGTGTGCGTTACGAGTGCTTGCGTGAGGAGAGGAAGGCATTTTGTGACTGATAGTGGCATGCGGTGGAATCCTGCGCTTTATCAGCTCGGCTTCGGTGACCACACCTCGACGGATATGGTCTGAAACTGATTTTACTGCAGTATTGCCGGGATTTTGCACAGAATATATACGCATTTGACTGTATAATTCTGATGGATTTTCCAAATTATCATGATGGCGCTCGTACCCACACTTGAAGGCACAATTAGCTTACTCTATCCAGGGGAAGTAGCCCAATCTCCGTTCAGACTGTAACAACACCAAGTGCTATCCTGTAGCAGCATCCTGCTTATTACACCTCATTCGCAAGCCACACGCCTCTTGCCCCGCAGACCCTCAAAGACCCCAAAGCCCGGAATGCTGCGTTCGTCCGAGCGTCCAGTACGTCGACTCACTGTTCCTTGAGCTTGCGCTCCAGGTCGCTCTGCACACTGCTGATGGCCATCTGGAGCCGCTTCTTCTCCGAGTCGGAGAGTGACGCCATCTCCTTAGTCTTGAGCTCCAACTCGCGCAGGTCGTCCTCGCGGCGTCGCTTGATCTCGCCCAGCTCGGACCACAGGTCGTTGATCCTGCGCCGCAGGTCGGGTCAGGTCAGGTCAGCTCAGGTCAGGTCAGGCAGCCCACCGGTGCGCAATGGTAGTGAATGCCGGCGGACGAATGCAGATGTCATCACCGTGCGCTGAACGGCGGTGAACTGGGAGCGACATGACGGCAGCAGCGTGATCGTCTTAGTTCCGTGGCACGGCACGTATGCGGGCATTCCAAGACGCCACGTGTGCGGATACTCCAACGCGCCACGTGTGCGGGCATTCCAAGACGCCACGTGTGCGGGTACTCCAATGCGCTATTTAAATCGTAATTATTTGTGTAACTGCTCGTGAACTGCTGTCAAACAACTGCTGCAAACTGTCGAACGTGACTGAAGCGTCAGAGCGGTAAACAAACAAACAAAAACAGGAGAACCACCCCCATCACACGCCGTTGATGGCTGTTGTCATCCCTTAGATACCAAACAAAACGCAGAATGGCAGCGTGTGCCACATGTGAATGCGCCGGCTCTTCCCACTGTTAGCAGGCTCTGTGCGGGCTGCTGGCGTTTCTCGGGGTCGGGGAGAGCGGCCGGCTCGTGGCTCATCCTCCGCTCACCTCTCGCTCTGCTGCTGGTCCACCATGTCCCGGTTCTTGGCGTCGTGCACCAGGCGCGAATTGACATCCATCACGTTCTGTTGCAGCTTCACCACCCTGACGACACACACACGGCACCGTCAGGCCCCTGACGATGTGGTCACGCTTCGACGCTCGCTGTGGGGAAAAGGATGCACCGCCAAACAGCGCTTGATCGTTCTGAAAATCTGAAGGTTGGGGTCGGTGTACGGGATTGTTGGCGAGTTGTTCAATAACAGCTCGCATGGCTAGGTAACACAAGTCAGAGTTTTGGTGTCGAAGCGCGAGGCGCCAGGCCGATCACAGCTTTGTCAAATGTTATCAAGACTCAGTTTGAGAGGAATGGCGTCTGTGAGTTGTGGACGCAGCCAGATAAATTCGGACTTCCCGTCTTGCTTGAGATAGCAAAACAACGGCTGTCCTATCGGACATCAAAACATGCATTTAAAAAGCTTCGCTGGCGCAGTGGGTTCTCCTCTTGTCGCAAATAATCCGAGAATGCCAACACCGGTGTGAGGCCCGATGCCGAGGAAGAAACAATCGCAAATGTGGCGCATACGCTACATTCAGTGCCAGGTCAATAGCGAGCCGGTGTGAATAATAGAAAAGCGTGTCGACAAACGGAGCCGGAACCAAGGGAACGCGGGATACAGACGTCACAGCGTGAAGCGGCGGTGACACGGGGCTCTTATCGCCCTTCGGTGTAATGCCGCGCTTACATTTCGCCCGTATCTATCACCGTATTCGCTTGACCGATGCTCTTTGAAGCGGCGATCAATAAACATTACCGATTTTCACAAGCGATATGTGCGGTATTTCGCCTGTTGAAACGCTCAGACCATCATGAAAAATAAATTGCAGCTGGGCATTTTTATGAACAAGTGAATGCATTTGAATAGCTGAATTGGTGCATCTGGCGAGTACTTTATGGAAAGGCATTGTGTCTATTGCAGTTCATCGATTTTGTTGATCTTAGCACGAATAATGATCACGGCATCCACGGCTATGAAACTACAGCGTTTTTGCGGAGCTTTAAGATCGCCCCCTCCTCACGTTTCGAAAACTTTAACATTTCACATAAAAAAACACTTACCAAAACAGGCTAATTAAAATACGTATGAGCCTTCAACGCTGCGTTTGCTTCATTTGCCACGTCTCATCAGTCCTCATCTTACCTAATGGCCTGCATTTTGCATTACGGCACAGAAACACATGCCGCCTCATCCTTGTGAAACTGAAAGCGGACAGCGAATGGGCGATGCGCAAGTGCACACGCCACGTCAGACTATCGCCGCGCTTACTTTCCCTCCAGGGCCATGGCGACCGAGTTGTTCATGCCGCCGCTGCCGGAGCCCCGCATCTGGCGGCATCCAGGGGAAGGAGGCACGGTCAGGCGCTGGCGGTGGTGGGTTGGTGACGCGGCGTGGAGTTATTAGCTGACTATGGTAGCCTGGTCAGTTGTGTGCGCCGAGTAGAGGCTCATTTACCGCCGTACACCATCCTCGATTGATGAGCAGTTGGGGTCGTGGCAGCAGCGCCCGCGGTAGTGACATGCCCTTTCGGAATTACATTATGTAAAAGCGGCGAAACGTTATGCTCAGCCAAAGAATCTCTGGAGAGTGTTATACCCGGCAGGGTCCGTGTTATGCCCAGCTGGACGGCATTATGCCCAGCGGGACCTGTGCCATGCCCAGCAAGAGATGTGCCATGCCCATCCGGACCCGCGTCATGCTCCGCCGAGGCCGTGTCATGTCCAGCGGGAGCCGTGTCAAGCCTGGAAGGAATTGTGTCATACCCAGCAGGAGTCGTGCCATGTCCAGCAGGCCCCCTGTCATGTCCGGCGGGAGCCGTGTTGCGCCCAGCCGGAACCGTGACATGTCCAGCAGGATCCGTGTCATACCCGGCAGCAGCCGTGTCATGTCCAGCAGGGCTCGCGTCATGTCCGGCGGGGGCCGTGTTATGCCCAGCAGAAACCGTGTCATGCCCAGCAGGACCCGTGTCATGCCCATCCGGACCCGCGTCATGCTCCGCCGAAGCCGTGTCATGTCCAGCGGGAGACGTGTCATGCCCTGCAGGAATTGTGTCATGTCCAGCAGGAGCCGTGTAATGCCCAGCAGGGCCCGTTTCATGTCCGGCGGGAGCCGTGTCACGCCCAGCCGGAGCCGTGTCATGCCCAGCAGAAGTCGTGTTATGCCCAGCAGGACCCGTGCCATGCCTAGCAGGACCCGTGTCATGCCCAGCAAGAGATGTGTCGTGCCCACTAGGACCCGTGTCATGCGCCGCCGGAGCCGTGTCATGCCCAGCGGGCGCCGTGTCATGCCCAGCGGGAGCCGTGCCATGCCCAGCAGGACACGTGTAATGCCCAGCAGGGCCCGTGTCATGTCCGGCGGGAGCCGTGTTACGCCCAGCCGGAGCTGTGTCATGCCCAGCGGACCCGTGTCATGCCCAGCGAAGCCGTGTCATGCCCAGCGGACCCGTGTCATGCCTAGCAGGACCCGTGTCATCCCCAGCAGGAGCCGTGTCGTGCCTAGCAGGACCCGTGTCATGCCCAGCAAGAGATGTGTCGTGCCCACTAGGACCCGTGTCATGCTCCGCCGGAGCCGTGCCATGCCCAGCAGGAGCCGTGTCATGCCCAGCCGGAGCTGTGTCATGCCCAGCAGGGCTCGTGCCATGTCCGGCGGGAGTCGTGTTACGCCCAGCCGGAGCCGTGTCATGCCCAGCCGGAGCGGCCTCAGTCCCCGCCTACGCGGCGCGCCGCGACTCACGTTCTTCCTGGAGCCCTCCTCCATGAGGCGTCCCTGCAGCTTCATCGTGTGGTCCACCGCCTGCACGTCACCCTGGAGGGTCTCCACCTGCGGCGGCGGCGGCGGCGGACGGTCATCAGGCCGAGACCACAACCCGCACAGCCGGCATCAGATAACACACAGCTGAGCTGCGCGGCAGCCGCCGACAGACGCCACTGAGCTTCGTAGTGTCGACATTGCACGGGGACTAAAGTAAGGATCTGAGTTGAATGGTCGACATCCCTTAGCATGTCAAGAGCGACCGCAGAACAATATTTTACCCCATGAGGCTAGGTACAGAAATTATATAGCTGAATTGTCCACCATTCGTCATCACGGTGTCACTACAAAACAACCAGCGGCGGAGTAATGCCCAGCATAGCCATGTTCAGTGTGCGGTAAGAAACAGGCAGGACTCGACGGTCACTCATGTGGTGCTTCTGTTGCAGGACGCGCGGGCTGCGCCAGCCGGAGCTGGTGATACCGCACCTTCATGTGTAGGTCTCGCACGTCCTCCCGCAGCGAGTGGGTCAGTCGATCCATCGAGTCCTTGGTCTGGTTGAGGCCGGAGACCTCATGGCGCAGCTCCTGTAGCCTAAGGGTGGCGCACAGGGGCTTCAGGTCAGGTCAGGTCAAGTGTGCGCATCTGCCCGCGGCTTGGCGCTCGCTTGGTAATTGCTTTGATAATACAAGTACCGTCTTCATGGTCCACTACCCAGGCCACCTAGCACCAAATAGTCATGGTGTATACCTCCCCCCTAAAAAAGTTTGTCCATCACCCGTCATGGTCTCACTCAGCCAAGGTCCGAATCTCTCTCGGCGACGGCCCACTCATCACTTGGCCATGATTTATCCTAACCTTGAGTGGCATAGTTTCCTATTCAGTAGGGTGACTTCAGCCGCTGTGTTCGAAAAAAGTGGACAAAATCCGGGAGAACCTGTTTGCTGGCACATTCTGGGGGGGGGGGACTGAGTCATTTTCTACAGTTCGGCCCGCTCATTTTCGGAAGCTACTTTTTTGTCCACGGTTACACCGCTCTGGTGGCCCGGTCCCACCTGGTCATGGTCTGTCTCTCCCTCACCATACCCACCTGACCATGGTCTGTCCCTCCATCACCACGTTTTCACCTGCGCACGGTCTGTCCCTCCCTAGCCACGAACTCACCTGGCCATCGTCTGTTCCCCTCGCTCACCACTTTCTCACCTGGCCATGGGCTGTCCCTCCCTCACCACACCCTCACCTGCCCACGGTCTGCCCCTCCCTCGCCTCCCTCACCTGGCCATGGTCCGTCCCCCCATCATCATGTTTTCACCTCCCCACGGCCTGTCCCTCCCTCATCACACCCTCACCTGGCCATGGTCCGTTCCCCTCGCTCACCACACCCTCACCTGCTCACGGTCTGCCCCTCCCTCGCCTCCCTCACCTGGCCATGGTCTGGTCTCACCGCTCCATGGTCTCGCCGCTGTCTCACCTGGCCATGGTCTGGTCTCGCCGCTGTCTCACCTGGCCATGGTCTGGTCTCACCGCTCCATGGTCTCGCCGCTGTCTCACCTGGCCATGGTCTGGTCTCGCCGCTGTCTCACCTGGCCATGGTCTGGTCTCGTCGCTCCATGGTCTCGCCGCTGTCTCACCTGGCCATGGTCTGGTCTCGCCGCTGTCTCACCTGGCCATGGTCTGGTCTCGCCGCTCCATGGTCTCGCCGCTGTCTCACCTGGCCATGGTCTGGTCTCGCCGCTGTCTCACCTGGCCATGGTCTGGTCTCGCCGCTGTCTCACCTGGCCATGGTCTGGTCTCGCCGCTGTCTCACCTGGCCATGGTCTGGTCTCACCGCTCCATGGTCTCGCCGCTGTCTCACCTGGCCATGGTCTGGTCTCGCCGCTGTCTCACCTGGCCATGGTCTGGTCTCGCCGCTCCATGGTCTCGCCGCTGCTCGTCATGACTGCGCGCTCCACGTTCTTGGTGTGCGTCACCAGCGACTGGATGGCGTTGCGACTCTCCTTCAGCGCCGCCTCTGTGCGGCCCAGGCGGTCGTCCAGCTCGGCCATCTTGCCCTGGGTGGCGCGCATGGCCATCTCGAGCCGGCCGCGTGTGTCGCGCTCCTCCATCAGGCTGTGCTCGTTCTTCTTGACGTTGACCTGCGGCGGTGTGGGGGGGGGACATGCAGGGTCATGGCCGGTTGCAGTAGTGGCAGTCAGTTTCAGCTGAGTTGCCGTGGTCGCAGCGCCGCTGGCGCGGAGATTGGGAGAGGGGGGGGGGAAAGGCGGTACTACTCCGTCCGACACCGTCAGCACCGCTGGCATGCCCAGCGCGCTCCCATTCCGTCTTGGGTGTCAGCCTGGGGTAAGTACGTGGTCCTTAGTCTGATGGAGTCCTCGTCCATGACTCTGGCTTCGAAATTTTGTGCGATTGTGGAATTGTGCTTTGTGATGGCGGCCTGAGGTCCTTGTGCAGGGATCTAAGTCTGAGGTTGCGTGATGATCACTCCCGCCACGTTTTTTTTAGTTTAAGGTCATGTACATGGACCCTAGTCTGAGGTCTCATTGTCAACGAGCCCCTGTCAGCGATCTCCTCGTAACCATTTTCGTTCTGTCCACGGGTCGCAGTCGGGGCTTCCTGTGCGGAGACGGAAGTCTAAGACTAAAGTTGTCCAATAGTTTTCTTTGTTCTTATAGAATAACATAACAATATGTACATATATAATATATACTATAACAACATAGTGATATTAATAGTTTTCCTTGTTCATTTTGAGGTGATCTTGTGACCCCCTCCCCCGTTCCAGAGATCTCAGTCTGAGGTGTCCCTGCGACCCTCTCCCCCGCTCCAGAGGCTTCCTACTTCCCATGGGTAAAACCCCATATGTTAATTATTGGCCGTTTTGCGTGTTTGATGTCCTCTGATTCGTCCAGTCATGCTGCATTTGGTCATTAAAACCATCAGCTCAAATTTTACAAGCTTTTAGCCCATTCTTTGAGCTAAAAGGTTGTGCAAATTTGAGCCATTGGTTTAAATACCTGAATTCAAGATGAGAAGACGAATCGGATGACATAAAAAACGCAAAATGGCCAGAAATGAACGTGTGGGGTTTTACCCTTGGACGGCAGAACTTGGCTATCACAGCAATCGTATCCAACAAGATGGTGTGATTTTTATCAAATACAGACATGGACATAACCAATATTTTAACCGATGCGAGAAGGACGATGCAGATAGCATAACAATACAAAAACAGCATAGCGGCAATAAAAGGTCGTGGCCTACCTTGGTATCCTGCTGCATTCGCATGAGCTCATCCAGAAGGGACCGGTTGGCTTGCTCAGCGGCCATTAGGCGCTGTTCGAGAGCATCAATTCGACGAGCTGTCGACCCAGGGGCGGAGTTAGGCCAAACTTGGTCAGATTGGTCAGTCTAAACACCAGAACAAGTCTTGTCAGGCGAAGTTAGGCAAGAGGAAGCTGGATTCGATGAGAATCAAGACCGGGTCAAACGGACTGTCCGCAGAATGGACGAATTCAGGTCTGGTCTAGTTCGGCGGACGAAGTCAGGTCAAGTCGAAAGAGATACGGAAGGTTTAGCCTGTTCTGGACAGATCAGGCCAAAGGGGTGGACAGTGCAAGAGGAACAGTGATATGTCAGGTAGCCTCGGGTCAGGCCAGGTATGATCAAGGCAAGCCGTTGAAATATTTGTCTGTTAAGCAGATGTGACGCAGTGTTCATATGTGTGAGACATTCATTCATTTCAGCTCAGACTGAATCAACCCTGGCCATTACACCAATCCGACCGTTCTCCACCGCAGGCAACATCGCTAATCAAAATCACGGTTTATCCATGCGTCATCGGTTCATGCCAGGCTACTTCCTTTTGGATCACGGATAGGACTACGGCACTAGATCGGGCACTAGATCAGGCATTGTAGAACCAGAGGATCGATTGAACACATTCAGGTGCGTTTCGTGAGGCCGCGTCTGGTGGAGTCGCTTGCTCGAAAAGGGTCAAAGAGAGGTCAATCAGGCCACGGCAGGTCAAGTCATCTGCGAAATGGTACAACTTCGTATTCGTTGACACCAGCTCCATTTGGACGATGCATGTTCATGTTCATATTTATATTATATTATATTATATCATTATATATATCATATTATAAGTCTGTGAGCGTAATGTGATGGAACTAAAATACGATGGATAACGAGCTGGGGCAACAGGTGCATGCAAACGACTTTTTCATATATTTTGAACAGTACATAACCAAGTCTATATAGATCTGAAGGTACTAGCGATGCCACGAGGGTCAGATGTGTGAAAGGAGATGACAGAGACAGCCTTCCAGGAATCGAGGAAAAACAGAAGGCGACAGAGGTGTTGATGAGATGAAACAAATGTGGTCCAATAGCAGGGAAATATTCACGTAAGGCATGCAGTGCTACGCCATTAAATTCAACCGCCCAGGATGATAACAGCTCGTTTATAGCCCTCGGTAGTTCAGGCAAAGTCCCAGGACACAGCCTTGGACTGACAGGGGTCACACACGGTGGCCTGAATGGAAGATGAGGGCCGCCCGCTACCAGTTCGGCAGCGAAGCGTAGGCCGACAGAAGTGAAGTGCCGATTACAGTAGGCCTTCTCTACCGCCATGTCCTCCTCCCACCTCCTCGCTCACCGTGTTACTCTCCCTCCCTGCCGACATCGGCTGTAAGGACAGCACGCTCTCCGCTCTCCGTGTTACTCTTCCTCCCTGCCGACATCCGCTGTATGGACAGCACATGCACCATTCCCCGTGTTCCTCTCCCTCCCTGCCGTCATCCGCTGTAAGGATAGCACGCTCCCCGCTCTCCGTGTTCCTCTCCCTCCCTGCCGTCATCCGCTGTAAGGATAGCACGCTCCCCGCCCCCCGTGTTCCTCTCCCTCCCTGCCGTCATCCTCTGTATGGACAGCACACGCACCATTCCCCGTGTTGCTTTCCCTCCTTGCCGTCATCCGCTGTAAGGACAGCACGCTCCCCGCTCTCCGTGTTCCTCTACCTCCCTGCCGACATCCGCTGTAAGGACAGCACGCTTATGGCTCCCGTGTTACTCTCCCTCCCTGCCGACATCCGCTGTAAGGACAGCACGCTCTCCGCCCTCCGTGTTACTCTCCCTCCCTGCCGACATCCGCTGTAAGGACAGCACGCTCCCCGCTCTCCGTGTTACTCTACCTCCCTGCCGACGTCCGCTGCAAGGACAGCACACACACCATTCCCCGTGTTCCTCTCCCTCCCTGCCGTCATCCGCTGTAAGAACAGCACGCTCCCCGCTCCCCGTGTTCCTCTCCCTCCCTGCCGTCATCCGGCGGCAGAGCTCGAACTCCACCGCCCACTCACCACTGCCCACGTCCTGCACAGGCAAGGCGGGCGCTGGGGTCGGCTGGTAGAAGTTGTTGGCCGGCGCTCGCTGCTGGAAGCGCGGCGCCCCGCCATTGCTGCCCAGCCCCGGCAGCGAATTGGGGTTCCCGAACATGCCGCCACCCTTCCGTACGCTGAAAGAAGACGAGGACGTCAACCCACCAGCCAGTGCGGCCATCACTCCAGCGGTTCTATCCCAGGTGCGCGGTTGTGGTCCTGGGTGCGACCAGGCATGCTTCACGCGAGGTAGTTTGTTACTAACGTGTCTGATGTCCTGGACGAGTTCTGTTTGTTTAGTCCTCCCGGTTCGATGTGTAATATGAGCTTTGTCGGCTTGTTATCCAAACCAAACTTTTCACGACTGAACATTCGCCAAGACAAAAACACGCATTCTATGTCAAATAGAATTCAAACGCAAGCACTGAAACTTACACCGCTGAAAAGGTGTAATTCACCGACACACTTCAGGGGTGGGTGCGCTTGTCAGTCTGTGGCTGGCTCTTGTGATGGGTGTGTTACAAATGCCTTCGGTAACGAATACAGGGGACTAGTATCACCACCGATGGCTCTGGCAAGCGCAGCTGACTCCTGGGTCGCCGAAACTTTGCACTGGTCAGGTCATTTTGATCACCTTTCAGGCATGAACAAGCAGTAATGTGAGTAAACAACGGTGTTTCACCTTGAGGATGGCTGCTGCTGTCCATGTCACGGTGGTAGCGAATAAAAAGGTTGCTATGTTTGGGATTCGACCCCTCAAATTCTGCGCATGCGTGGTGGCGAGGCCGCGGAGCTGTTGGTGGCCGGAGACGGCTATCCCCTGCGCTAAAGCCCACGACGCCAGGTTACTGTTGCAAGCGCAGCTGACTTACCAAGGAACTTACTCAAGGAACGCTTTAGTTAGCGTTATATTGTTTTTTTTAATGTAACACGAGCTCTTCTACCTTTTATGGCCAAAGACATTTAGATATAAAGCCAATTTAACTACCGACGTTACCATAACCCTTCCGCCGTTTCCAAAAATAAAAATAAAAAAAGGCAAGATGGGTTTGCTCGCTCTTCGCGGATGGCACTGCAATTGCCGGTTGGTCGCATATGACCAAGTGGTGATAGTGCTGTTAAACAGCTTTGTCCGTCTTGCGGGAATAAGACACTTCAGCCGTAAGTAAATACAACCGCAGTAGATATTGTCCGTTGTAAACTTTTTGAAAATGCTGGGTTCAAATCATTTGAAAAGCAGCCTTTTTAACATAGGAAAACATGGCGTGCCATGAAAGTATCTCGAAGAATCCATCTGATATAGATGAGACAGCATTGTAACTATTCTTCCTTGTATAATACACGGGACAATGATCACATGGATATCATAATTTGGCTGCACGCCTTTATCAAAACCAATTTCTCTAATAAATTCAAAAATGCCTGACGATCTTACTCGGTTTTTCATTTTTTAAGCTGCCTAATCTGTATGCGTACAATTCCTCGCAAATGCACTTAACAACTTACGTAACTCCTTTAAGATGGAAAATGTTCGTGATACTGAAATAAAGTGGATAAAAAATCCGAGAGGCCCACGCCTGATCAAGCCAAGAACACACACGTTTACTTAGAAGTATTTGAAAGGCGTCACTCGCGTCGTGCTGCTTCACTAGCTTATTGGAAAGCGGCGAGTTCTTGCGTCATTAAGACACTTTCTCTTACTACACCGGACAGCGAAAAAGAGGGTGTCTTTCTTTGTTCTTGAATTCACCATTTATTAACGTATTATCCACCGTCTAATTACAAGGCGACAGAAGACAGCGCACGTACATGGATTACATGTTTCGCTCCAGGGGTGTAGTTCCGCAACTTGAGCTGGAAGGACTGAACCGTGAAAGAGCTGAGGCCTAGACCCAAAGCCTTGCTTGCGGCTTGTTTTTCTCCTAACTTTAAAGAGGGGGAGGGAGGCTGTGGCCCAAATTGGGGAGACTGACCCCCGAACTGAAAAGGAAACTACACCCCTGTTTGCCCACTTGTGAACAGATAAAAAGCGCATACTTTAGACTGCCTTCACGATCACGCCACCAAATCGGAGAACGTGATCGTCGTCCAGGTCAGTGAGGCATGCAGACGGCGCTGAGGTTTCACTGAGTGGCGTCCTAACAGTATTTGACAAAGCTATGCGACATATCGTGCTGGTGTCCAAAGTGTTTGGGCAGAACAAGGCTAGCCGTTGAAACATCTGCATGTTGCTGTGAGTCGAACTCTGCCCTGGTGGCTTGACATCATCGCGCTTGATGCGCTTCTGGTGGACGTTTCTCATGACCTCTCTCCGACCTGGAACTGCAACATCACGATGATGTAGGTCAGGATGGTGGACCAAATACTGAGCATGGTGGAGCGCCGCAAACAGAACAATCCCACGTTGCCAAGGGTGTCTAGATCGCGCTCGGTCATCTTCTGGGCCAGCGCCGCCTCGCTGCCGAGCTCGGGTCTCTCCCACTCGATCTGCAGCAGCAGCTTCCGGCTCTCTCCGAGCAGATCCAGGACTTCCTGGCTCGCCTCGCACGGGCTGGACAGGGTGGTGACGGCGGTAAGCACGTACACTGCCATGACTCCGAGCTCGACCATGCCAAAGAACGTCATATGGACCATGCTTGCAATCAGTGAAATGTGGGCGAGGATGCCGAACGTCATAGACACGATCAGTTCGGCGGTCATGGCGTCGGTCAGACGGGAGAAACTGAGAGACAGACGCTTCTGAAGCAGTGTGATGCCACGCAGCCTAGCGCAGGTTGGCAGGTAGCTGCCAGTGGCTATGAGCTTCAGCTCGCGATTCACTGTCTTCAGGCCGGTGGTCAGAAGGTTGGTGGCGAGCATGAACTTAAAAGGAATCATTTCGAACGTGCAAAAGAACGTGACATTGCTACAGGTTCTCCAGACTATGCCAATGCAGGCCATCGACAGGGTACGGCAGGTTAAAAAACCTCTGCTGATGGCCATCGCGGAAACCATATTGCCAACGATAAGCAAGACGTACACGAACCAAAGCACGATTGCTCCTCGGCCTTTCTTAAACGTGTTCGCACTGTGCCATCCGAACTCTTTCATGTTTTCCAGGTCTGCGTGAATGCGCACAAACAGAGTTGCGAAGCGTTCCCGACCCCAGACAAATGTGGCGCTTAAGGATAGCCACACAAAAACAAACATGGCTCCGAAGCCGCTCGACTGCGTGATCGCCGTGATGACAGGTTTTCCGGCATCCAACATCGCTATTCCCTGCATCACAAGTCCCCGGACTACCACGAACGAGAAATAGGTCTGCACGCCGTAGAGGACGGTGGCGTACAGGCGCCACAGCCGGCCCGGCCGGCCCGACATGCCGGCGATCTCCAGCAGACGGAGGAAGGCTCGAGTCGCCCCAGTGATTGGGGCGGACTTCCGGACCGCCTCCCCGGCGCCATCCGGGTCTCCCGGCCAGATCACAGAAGGACCAGCCGACTTCCAGGCCAACCTCGCCATAGTGACGTACGAGCTGTCCCCCCGGGTTGATATCGGACGGGGGCGGGTCAGGTGCCAAGTGAAGCCGCGGCTGAACGTGCTGCTCCTCGCGCTGCTGCCGGCAGCGGCGTCAGGTGCTCGTCCTGCGGGCGCTCTGGGACAGGAGCGGTGTTCACCGCCTACCACCGTCAGACGCTCTTTCTCTCGGCTATCTGGAGAAGGAACGGGACTACACCGCCTGAGGTAGTGAGATCTTAGTCGTCTAGGTCCTCGGGTATACGAGCACGCCGCCCGGCGGCGTCCGACACCCCGACCTGAGGTCAAGTGAGTCGCCCCACGGTGTGTCCGTCCCCTGTAGAGGCGCGTGCTGCGGATCGAGCCCTGCTCGGCCCGGCACTGGACTGAACTGGGCGCCGGGAGCCGCCGGCAGCCGGAATCGCACCGCAGTTACTCAGCTGTCGAAGACCTAAGGCTCGACAAACATTGCAGTCGCGGCAGCCAAACAGCGAGCCATTGACTTCGGCAGGCACGTGGCCGTGGTTCGAAACCACTCAGGTTCTGCTCCTGTTTGCCGGTGGAAACGACCAGCACACAAACGGTGGACGATCGTCTGTTCGCTTCGGTTGCCTGAGCAGCGGCACTCGCCGTGATGAACCACCCGCCGTCTCGAACTGTGTGAGGTGGCGATGGCGGCGCGGCTGCTCAGCACGGCGCTCAAGGCTCCGATCAATAGCGGAATGTTGCGACCAAAGTCACGTGCCGCAATGCTTGACACGGTTCTTCCTGCTCTCTCAGGTCACCCGATCTTTGGGGTAGCCGGTGTCAACGGCCGCAGGCCATCTCAGTCAGGCGCGTGGCAAGCACCTAAAGCGACTCGGCCCCCCCCCCCCTCCCGCCATGGGCACGTGAATCGGTACGCGGCCGCTCTCACGAACTTGACATCGAGGTGGACGTAATGTTGGGTTATCCATGCGATTGTGATCTAAGTCCATAGTCCACAAAAACAGAACAACACAGTCCCGCAACTCCATAAATGATTTCCATTTGTTGCTTTTCAACTTCCCCGTGGTCAATTTTAAAGATGACTATTGCTATCAACGTTTACCACACAACTGTATGCCAGCAGCAGCATGAAAGTAGGCTACAGAATGTAGTCACACGACGCACTCGCGCAGCATTTACATAATTCCAAGCAAATGTCCCATGTCAAGTATGATCGTATCATTTGCATTTTGGGGATGCTGGCATGCATACCTCTATAAGGAGATTGTACGTGTAAGAAATGGTTTGAAAGGCATTGGATTTCAGCTGCCTTGAATTGGCTGATCTGAGGTACTTTTTCATTTAATGTCAATGTTCAAATCTTTTTGAGATGAAAAAATGACGCAGCTTAAGGCCCACGTTTTGTTGCCTTATACGTTTATCAGATATGAGTTTGTTACTTTAAACCTTCCCAAAGCACATCCGGTACTCAATATAGTAATCCTGTCGATGAATAAAAATACAACTACTTGCAGCCTGGCAATGACGGACCGCATTAAACATGCTTTTGAAAGGAGAAAAAAAATATTACAAAACAAGCCGGAGATACGTTTTAGAAATGTTCACATTTAGATGTACCCTGTTAAAGGCGGTGATCGGAGGTGCTCGGTGAAGC